TATAATAGAATCTTCATGTATTCTATAAATCCTTTGATGTAAGGGTAAATATGGAGACTTTGTGCAGTTGCATGCTCCCAATAAAAAGCATGCAAAGTAATTCTGTAATGACTTCCATAGTGCTCCTGCCCCAGAAGTCATAAAATATGTTTTCCATTTTTGGCTTCATATTCTGTGAATATTTTGATCATGACAATGAGCTACATGACGCCTGTATTAATGAGGAGGGGACAAATTTCCAGGCCTATGAAACAGAGAATGTAATAGAGTGGTGAATTGCCTGTACTAGAGCTGTTCTGTGTCCAGACAGAAGAGGCTGATGAGATAATAATTTATAAATGGTTTTATCCACACACTGAACACCCAGAAAGGCTTCTTTTTGAAATGTTATCAAGTGTTAGCTGTTGTCTGTCTCAGAATAAAATGCTCCTCCCCATCATGAAGGAAGATGTTATTTCAATAGATAAATGTGATTTGTTAACTATTGGCATCTAGAATATGGGGGAAGAGGGGGCAAGGGGGGTATTGTTCTAGAAATATGGTTTGGGTAAAAGTCATGTGTCAATTTTCTTCCCATAAATCTAAATAGGACTTAATAGGTTAAAAAGAAAATTATTTACTGATTCCAGGATATTCTAGACCTTGCCTGAACAAAAAAAAAAAAAAGGAGCTGGGCTATGTATGGACTTGCAGGAGAAATGATTGCTTTGGGAGGAGCTGGAGAAATGGTTTCCTCCTTTGGTTTCAGCAGGGTATGAGAGGGCTTATACAGAGGATTTTTAAAATTTCTTTCTTTAAAGTTCAGTAGGAAAGTTTTCTTTCTTGGAGGGATGGAAAAATTTCTAAGTGCTATTTGTAGTGCAAATATTTTTTTGCTATTTCAGTATTCTCAGAGTACATAAATTTCATTGCTAGAATTCTTCATGTCTTATTTATTTCATATTACAAACTTCTGATTATAACTTTTGGGGTAGCATAAAGTGGATAAAATTAAAACATATTACAGACAGAATAGCTATACTCAATTTGGATCTTTTGGTGATGTGCACACATGAAAGTTCACTTTACACTGTCAGGTGAGACTGTGTTCTTTTAGACACAGGAATTGTTGAGCATATATTTGGAAGGGGATGTGAGATAGTGAGAAAGCACCACAGAGAATCCATGTTGGAGCAGGTTCCTGGCAGTAACTGTGACCTATAGAAAGCAGCCCATGCTCGAGTAGGGGAGAACATTCAGAGGAAGGAGCAGCAGAGAAGAGCACATGCCCACAACTACTGCATTTACTCTGTTTTAAACTGGCAGTAAATTTAATTTTTTTTTCCTAAATTTAGTCTGCTTTGTCTGTAATGGTAACTGCTAACTAAACTCCCTGACTCCCTGTCTTTCTGTTGACCCATGAGCTTTTTAATCTTATTTTCTCCCTGGTCATGTTGAGGAGGAGGAGCTGTGTGGGTGTCCAGCAGCCACCCAAGGTCAAGCCACCACAATATACAGTGAATGAACTCTTGCTACAGTGCCAGGGCCTCAGATACCATTTCTGAGTGGTGCTCCATGACTCTGAGGCAGTGGTTATACATACCTGTAGAACTGTAATTTATATTTTTAAAAGATGCTGAAAAAAACTCCAGAAAATTAAGGAGGAAAAAGGCCATAGGGACAGAATGAATGAAGAATTCCCTGTGTTGTGTCGGACTTAAACCATAAGGAATGATCTTTAATTGAGAAGAAAACTGTGATAGAGTACTCTGGTGTATGGGATCAGTGCTGTTTAATGTCTTCATTATTTACATAGACAAAGGGATTGAGTGCACCCTCGGCAGATTTGCTAATGACACCAAGATGAGTGGTGCTGTTGCTGCACTTGAAGGATTTGATTGTCATCCAGAAGGACCTGGACTAGCTCAAAAACTGGCCCATGGGAATGTCATGAGGTTTTAAAAACTGAATTCATGGTGCTCCACCTGGGTCAGGCCAACCCCTGGTATCGATCCAGGCTGGGGGATGAACAGAGCAGCCCTACAAGAAGTACTTGGGGGTGCTGGTGGGTGAGAGGCTGCACTGGGAGCCCAGGAACCCCCTGTGTGCTGGGCTGCCTCCAAAGGCCCATGGCAGCAGGAAAGAGAGGAATTCTGTCCCTCTGCCCAACTCTGGTGAAGCCTCACCTGCAAGGCTGCTTCCAGCTCTGGCTTCCCAGCATAGAAGGAACATGGACCTGTTGGAGCCAGTCCAGAAAGCCATTAAAATAATCATGGGGATATGGCATGCCTCCTGTGAAAATAGGAGGAGAAGATTTGGGTTGTTCACCCTGTGAAAGAGAAGGCTCTGGGAACACCTTACTGTAGCCTTTCAGTACCTACAGGGGACTTACAAGAAAGATGTGGACAAACTTTTCAGTAGGGCCTGTTGTGGGTTAGGACAAGGAGTAATGGCTTAAACTAAAAGAGGGTTGATTCAGACTAGATATAAGGAAGAAAGGTTTTACAGTGAGAGTGGTGAAACACTGACACACATTACCCAAAGACAGAGTGGATGCCCCATCTCTGGAAACATTCAAAGTCAGGCTGGATAGGGCTCTGAGCAACCTACTCATGTTGAAGATGTTCCTGTTCATTTGCAGGGAGCTTGAGCTAGATGACCTTTAAAGATTCCTTCCAACACAAACCACTCTGAGATTCTATGATGATATCTTCAAACAAACAAAACTTTGAGTACTGAAAGCCCAAATGGACTCACTCAAGGCAGAAGTGAGGCACTAATTTCAACAAAAGTAATCAACTGTTAAAAAACAGCCATAAGTATCAAGAAATTGTTAATTTGTTTGTGTCTTCGGGTCAAGACTAGATATTCATCTGCTAGGGTGTGTGCAACTCCTTCCCCATTAAGCAGGAGAAAGAGAAATTAATTAGGGATGGACCAAAGAGGTCTGTGTGCTGAAGAACATCTAATCTTGCCATTTTCCTAGTTTCTATCAGTCAAAATAAGATTATTTTTAACCAAGTTTCTAAACATTGATGGAAACAGGTTCCAAGTTCTTGTCCATATCCACTATAGCAATTGTTCAGTTGGTTGATGCAGACGGAGGAAATAGACTGCATTGTCTAGTAGAAGTGTCTGTGCACCTTCAAAATTAGTACAAAACCAAGAGAACTTGAGATGCTTTTGGGAAGAAACAAAAAAACTAGACCTGTGTAAAGACCTGTGTTCAGTTGTTGTTAAGCACTTGCTAGCCTGATGTGGATTAATTGTAATACCTGTGCCCAACTCCTGGTAGCTTGGTGGGGGTTGATGTAGGTCTAGTGGTTATTTCACTTGTTCTTTCTGGAATTTCAGTGTTCCCAATACATGAGTGTGAGGAACCAATTTAATTCTGAGTTCTATCTCAATATTGTTTGAAATCACCAGAGGTGTGTGGAGAGGGGCTGTACAAGGGCTACTTGCAGTGTTAGCATTCAGGAACACATAATCACAGAATTATTATATGCAGGTGCATTTATTTAAGAGCTCTGCGTGGCAGGGGTGCACCGACCCAAATCTGACTCCAACATGGTTTTGAGCTGAACTTGTTTTGTATTCTATCATTATATAACTTACATATTAGTTATTAAACTTACATTGTTCTATTGTATACATTGATTTCATCTGAGCATGGATTTCTCGTGATCTCCCTGAAACCCTCAAACATAAGTTTTTCATGAGTCTTCTTATGATTAAACAATAATTACATCTAACTATTAGGTAATCATCACATCTAACAATCATATCATTTATCATACACTGATTACACAGGCGCAGTTTCACATGATCTAGCAAACACACGGCCTAACATTTCCCAGGGCCTACCCTTAACATTTTCCCAGGGCCTACTAAGCCTAACTTTCTTTCTAGCTCCCCGAATTTTCTATGATTTTAAAATCTTTCATGATCAGCAGGAGGCAGCTAGGAGAAGATGGAAAGCCCTGTCTCTCAGGAGACTTTACCTGGCAGCCATCTCACATCTCACATATAACAGGCTGTCAGTAGGAGGCCACCAAGGACACTGACCTCCAGAGAGGTTCTCCAGTCAGATGGTGAAGGGACAATGGGTTGTTCTGGAATGTTGGACTGGGCCAATGATCTCCTCACAGCATTGCAAATTTTGGGAGGAGGCAGGGGTATAAAACTAACTGTGTCACAAGCTTCAGAGCTTTTTGTCATTTAGCTCTGACTAGCTGGACATTGAGGCCCACTCTGAGGTTCTGCTGGTAATGCCCATTTTTTCTCTCAGTCGCCCCCCCCCTCTTTCTCTGCCCATTTTTCCTTCTCCTTGTTCATTTTCTGTCTTTTCTATTCTTCCTTAGTAGGGCAACATCCTTTTCACTACCAATAAATGATTCTCAGATAGAATACTTGCCTCGTTTCACACAATTCCATCCTCAGCCATCTATTTTAGAAGAACCCCCTGCAGTTCCTCCAACAATATCCAAGAGTATATGGGGATTTTTTCTTTCTTTGAGTTAAAACTAGATAAATCATTATTATCCTCCTTCCCATTTCAAGAAGAATTTGAGATAATTGCCAATTACTCTACATATTTTTTACCCTGTAGAAACTGTAAGTGGTATTCTTCAGAAAATATGCATGCCTTGTAATAAGAATGTTATGGAAAATACACTTATAGATTAATGGATGTCTCCCCAGTTATAAACAGAAATTACCATAGCATAAAATTTTTACTGGTTATATAGAACTTCTTACATGTTAATGTCATTATGCCATTGCAAAAAGTAATTACTTATTTTTTACAAATGCCAGAACCTGGAGAAAAAAGATGAACTGTTCAAGGCTAGCCCTAGTCTAGCTCTTAGTTTGTACTCTTTTTCGTAGGCAATGTCTAACTTGTACAGTGTGAGGAGGTCTCAGAAATGTTGCTTGTAGCTGCCAAAGCACAAGCAATGTGCTTTGTGTGAAATCACAAATGTTTATTGCTGAATTGTCTTTTTTTTGCTGTCCCCTTGCAGATCCTGATGTGTCTGGAATCTCCATTGAAACAGATAACAAAAATGTAAAAGCAGAGGAGTTTAAAGGTACAGTATGGGCATTGTTATGGTAGTTTTTAATACATACACAATACATGCAAACTGTGTATACAGAAGCTGTGCAGATATTGAGGTATTCTTGCTCCTTCCTGAGGGGTCTTGTGCCCACTCTCTCCACTGATTCTGTCTTATCTTGGTCTTGTCCCCGTTTTCTCTTACTTGAGGTGGGGTTGACCCAGGTGCTCCCCGGAGATCCTTTCCAACCTCACCTGTTCTGTGCTTCTATGACTTGTTTGTCAGTCCTGTAACTTCTGCCTGGTTTCCTTCCACACAATATCATGGGAGCTGATGGAAAGGAGAAACATTAAATATCTTAAAAGACAGAAAAGTGAAGGACTAGAAAGAACAGATATAAGTTAGTAAATTGTAAGTAACAATAATTGAATGGCTATTTTTACTTGTCAGTAGCTGTAATGGCTATTTACATAGTTATATATGTATATATATATGTCATACATAAAATAGCAAATTGCTTCCAATAATGAGGTGGAGAATTTGCAGAGAAAAAGAGGAAAACCTGTTTGCTGGGTAGATGAGAAAGGGGAGTACTGTAGTGTGAGATTTGTTATGTGGGTTTGTTTTTTGAATTTGCTTGGAGTGGAGAGAGGTGGGAATTTGGGATCAAAAAAACTGTTCTCTGAGCTTTAAACCTTATTCAGCATTTTGAGGTAATAATCAAATATTTTAGAGGTCTCTAAAACTGTCATGTAGACTTCTGTTAAGTATTCTCTTGACAGAATGCATTTAGAGCTCAAGGCAGGCATAAGCAGAGAAAAACGTCTCAGCTAATATTAAAGCTTGATTAGGCTCTGTATTTTTATATGGTATATGGCTTGCATTTTTTCTTTTGTTATTTGTACATTGAATGGAATCAGTTGAGCACAGCCCACATGCCAAGCCAAGTTTTCCATGTGTAGCAGCACTAAGGGATGGCAGGGCCAATGGACAGCTATTCCACTGAGTGCAGCTGGTCTGAAAAGCATTTTCCTTTTCTCCTCTAACTCCTCTGACTGTAGAGGAGGATGGTCAGGCACTGGGACAGGCTGCCCAGGGTAGTTGTCATGGTACCAAGCCTGACAGAGCTCAAGGAGCATCTAGGTGACGCTCCTAGTCATGGTTTTGTTCTAGGTAGTTCTGCAAGGAGCAGGGAGTTGGGCTCACTGATTCTTGGCATTCCTTTCAACTTGAGATATTCTATAATTCTATCACCAATGATAGCCCCCAGACCAGATGTAAATCCAAATTAAGTATTGTGCAGACCTCTCCAAGATTCCAGAGGGTTTTTACAGGCCTAGCAGTACCAGTGCTGATGCACAGTATCCAGTGGACCTACCTTAATGCAAGTCTGGAAAATGCCCCTCCCTGATTCTATTATTAGGGGAAAAAGCAGGAGAGGGGAGCTATAACTAAGGACAATTTTATTATGTTCTCTCTGTTCTGTGCACACTCCCTTTCTTCCATGCATTCCTTTTCTCTGAATAAGATTAGTGGGTGGGCATCAGTGCTGGGGTTTTTTTTCTGAAACCAAAACATGTGGGATGCAAGAAAGGGACAGCTCATTTGAGACAGAGGTGACTTGTTCAGCTGAGAACACTTCAGCTGAGCTGTCTCTGTGTCAGCTAATAGAGACCAGCCCATTTGACAAGCCAGCTGTCACAAGGCCAGTAGCAAAAGCAAGCTGAGCTTGAATGATGGTTTTTCTTTGTTAGAAGGATACAAAAAACAAAGTGGGAAGGAAACTAGCAAATCTTAAGATTCAGGAAGCCTCCACCCATACACTCAACCTGAAGTCAGGAACCTCAGACTTCCTGAGTGCACAGTATGTTTTTCAAAACAGCCAGTGCACGTGTAACATGTTTCTGGCAAGGAACACCCTCCTGCCTCAATTTTTCTTTCAAGTCTGGATATTTTTTTCCCCTGTGAGGTATCACCAAGGCTACCAGTCTGGGTTTTTGTTTCTTTTCAGAGCAGACCTAGGAAATCAGACTCTGAAGGGCAAGGGAGTGGATCTGTCTGTAGCTCCTAATTACCTTCCAGCATCGTTTGTTTAGACTGGAAAGGAGGATGATGGTTGATTGTGTTTGAGCAGTGCATGTTGGCATTATGAAAGCTAGACAGGCCTTGTCAAACCTATAAAGGCTTTATCTCTGGATATTGTGGCCTGTAATGGAAAATTAGTAGCTTACAGGTAGCAAGGTCTATATTGCATTTGTTTCTTAAACCATCTTACTGCAATATTTTTCATCTCCATTAAGTTATACATCTAAACTAAAAAGCTATTGATACTGAATTCAGAATGGTAACTCAAAAAATATGTTTACAACAAAATCAGAGTCCCCCTTTTTAGGGGTGATCTGCTCAGAATTGTTTAAACTAAAATGAGGGTAGTAATAAAAAATGTAATTGATAAAGTAGATATTCCCATGTTAGATGGGGAAAGTCATAAACCCTATTCAGCATGGGAATCCCCAGCATCTGAAGTTTGACCCAAAAGCCACTGAAGTATAAGAAAATTACTGGTTTCTTTTTCCCCACTGTGTTTGTGTAAATCTGGAGAAGCATCACTTTGAGAAGTAGATCTGGCCATTGCTGACTGTACAAGTTCTTTTGAAGGAGGAACATGAATTTCATGGAACCTGAATGTATATCAACACAATACTAAAATCTCTAATTTTCCCTTTTGTCTTTTTTTTTTTCTTCCCTCTAGAGGCTATTCTTAGTTGCAAACATAAATTTTCGAAAGGGATGAGTTTAAGAATAGAGTGGAAGAAAATCCAATCTCAAGGAGTCTCATTTGTCTACTACAACAGTGAATTTACAGGTACAGTACTGCAAATGGATGGTTTAACATGTCATTCTCTGGCATAGCTATTGACTCTTTCTTGGGGAACAACACCAATAAGACTGAACAAGAAGGCTCTTGGCTGTTCATATAGAAGAGCTGTTGTTTTGAGAAAGAGAACTCTTCTCTGGGGTAAAAAAGGCATTTCTAAAATCATCAATTATTAGTTACCTTTTAATTAAGTTAAATATAATAAAATTAAAGGCTAAAAAAATGATACTGCAGATTTCTTGTGATTTTTCAACAATGAAATTACATGTGGATGTAAACTCCCCTAAACTACTGCAGGCTCTGCACTCCTATCCTAAAAAGAGGTTTCTGAAGCCTCCTGTAAAGCAGGAGGCTTAGATATGAATAATTCAGCATTTTTTATATACATAAAATATAAACTCAGCTGTATATTATAAATTATTTGTGTTCTTTTCAGAAGTAGAATTTCTCTTTGTATGTTTTGAAAAGGACTTACTTAAGCTTTGTATGTTGGAGAACATATGGGTCTCTGTTACACTGATCACAATAAATGAAGGCTGAGAAGTAAAATAAAAGCACAGAGATTTTGTTAGTTTGCAGATGTGTCGACCTTGATGAACTTGGTTTTTTCTGCATATATTTAATTTAGAGAAACACTGAAACTCATGCTTCATGTGTGCATGTAACTGTCATAATAAGCTGTAGAATTACAAAAACTTCTTTATTGTTAGAAGTCTGATAGCAGTATTTTTGCTAAATCCATCAAGTTTTTCTTGCCAAGTTAAAATGTCAAATACTCTGCTCTTGTCTCACTCGCAAATTTTTCTTTAATGTAATTAAGTTAGTGATTGCCATGTCTCTAGTGGAAAGGGATGTTTTTCAGTCACCTCACTACTGCTATATATATTTTCTTGAAACAACTGCAGAAAAATGCATTCTATCTTCCAAGTGGAAAATATATGGCAAATGGAGGTTTTTTGAATTGAGGGTGGTTTTTTGGACTAAATGGAAGGTTCAAACTGTTTTCAGAAGGAGATTACATATTGCTCTTTGCTGATAGGTAACTAACACTGACCTAATGAGCAATAGTTTCATGTACAATATGACACAAAATATCAATAAATTGTACATGATTTCAGAATAAGCCAATGAGCCATAGATATTTGGTTCAGACTGAAGGAGGGGAAATTTTGGTTAGATATGCAGAGGAAATATACAAAGGAAGTTCTCCTGTGAGGATGGTGAGGCCCTGGCACAGGCTGCCCAGAGAAGCTGTGGCTGCCCCGTCCCTGGAAATGTTCCAGACCAGGTTGGATGGGGCTTGGAACAACCTGGTCTGGTGGAAGGTGCCCCTGCCCATGGCAGTGGGGATGGAACAAGATGATCTTCAAGGTCCCTTCCAATCCAAACTATTCTGTGATTCTATGATTCTATAAGCAAAGAGCAGAAACCTCTCTGTCTGTTCTCCCTGAAGGTGATCTCCGAGGCCGAGCAGAGATGCTGAACACAGGAATCCGAATTAGGAACGTAACTAGAAGGGATTCTGGGACCTACCGCTGTGAAATCAGTGCCAAGAGTGAAGAGGGACAACGCCTGGGAGAGGCTACTATTACTCTCACAGTATTGGGTACAAACTTTGTTACTTAGCCTTTTTAGAGAAACTGGATGATGGGATGATGGGGTGTTGGGATGTTGAAGGCAGGGCTGCCCACACAGTGTGTGGGTGCTGGGTTTTTGGGTCTTCTTCGGGCTGGGTTTATAAACACACTTGCACATGAACATTCTACATCACAAAACAGCTTAGCAAAAGTCAAACTTGCTTTAGAAAGAGACATAACTATGGTTTTATTAAATCAAAGTGAGTTTCAGTTCTCAAAAAGGAAGTTTCTCAGTGACTGAGAATCTGGATAAGATGATCATGGTGTTTGGCACTGGAAAGTCAGCATCTGTCAGCACTTATCAAATATTCATAAGCAGAAGTTCGTTCCAAGATGCTACAGTCTCGTCCTGGTTTTGGAAGGAGAGAGGTTTTGTGCAATGCCAGCCAGAGAGCTGGCAATCAGTGGACTTTATTTACAGGAGAGATGGTGGTGCCCTACTGGGGAGCAGTCGTTCTTTGTGGGTCTTTGTTTTCTTTCCCAGTTAAGGAATTTATGGAAAAGTGAATATTGAGCACATTGCTCTCACATTGCATTTGGTATTTGTTGTACTGGATGAGTGGTAGAGGCCAATAGTTTCCCTTTTTTACCTGTACTGGGACAAAATAAAATACTTGCTTTTGTAGATTCTATATTTGTCCTATTAAAACTAATAATAATTGATCATTAAAAATTATACATAAAGTTTTTGTGTTCTTCATAAAAGATGATAAATGCATGAACTTCTGATTAGCATCAACAATGAGGTAACCCCACTTTCTTCTACTTTCTCAACAGCTTTCCTGTTTAAATGTGGCTTCTTAATTTAAAGTTGAAGTCTTCAAGGTCATAGGAGAAAGGGTGGGGGGGACATGTGTTGCTTACAAACCTTTTTGAAAGTTAATGTGACAGTATTTCGTTTGGCTTTCTTTATTTCTGCTTTTTATCTTAAAATCAACCAAGAAAAAACTATCAACGCTAGTTAAGGTGTCAGTTGTTCTTTTAATGTTCCACAGATGCCTCTTCACCATTATTTTTCTTCTATATAATGTTAAGTACCAAAAAATAAAAAATTAAGTTTTTTTTCTGTTCACATATTAAAAATCAAAAAAGAGATGTTCATCTTCATAGGAGAAGGAACAAACAGTTCTCCTGCATCTGTGTGGGGGAATGTTCATTTTTAATTTAAACTGGAATGTAGTAGCCAATTGGTTTTTGGTCCTCAGACTGGGGTTTATATAGTGCCTATGATGACTGCCAGTGTCTCGGTGAATCTTTCTGACATTCACCTCTCAAAAATTTACTCCTTTTAATACAAAAAATCTTTTTTCCTCTTCTTCACTTCTGTTTTTAAATACTAGGGTAGGGAAGGGGCCAATTGCTGGACTACAGATTCCAAGTTATCCCATCTCTGTCTGTTGCATACAAGAAACAAAGTGAAACAAACTCTCTGGGGTTGGATGAAAGTGAACAGATTGGAGAGAGGATGACACAGCATATGGTGGGGGGAGGCTGGCAGTAAGCACCTCTTTCATTTTTAGCAACTCATAAATTTTACTGTGCTCTCAGTAGCAGGGTTGTGCCTTCCAGCCCTTCTCCTACTCTTCATTTCATTGATGTAGTAGTTACCAAGTGCTCAACCCCTGCCCAAATCAAGGTGCAAACGAGACCAAATGCCAGTGACAATAGTATGGGGTTTATTTAATAGTAAATATATGAGAGAAGGAGAGAGAGAGAAATAAGAAATAGGTAGGAGAGACTGAGAGTAACAGGGACAGAATAAAGAAAATACAACCACTCCATGGATCCCAGTGATGTTTCAAGGATCTTCTCCAGCTGGTGTTCTTGGTGGTGAAGAAGAAAAGCATAGAATCTGATTGGTTAATATACACTCAGGCTAGGTAGGAAAATCCAGGCTCCTCCCGTGGGGGGCAGGGGGAGTTTGTCATTGTCCCTTACAACAGACTGGGTTTGTTGCATCATGTGCAGTTCTGGGGTGCAAGGCTTCAGGAATGACACTGGGGAGCACTTGAGGGGACCTTTGATGGATTAAGGCACCCCCTCAGCTGCCTCTCATGTGAATATCCCGTGGATGTGGCCTTCCCAAGGCTGGGGGTTCCATGGCCAGTTTGTGTAAGGGAGGATGGGTTCCCTGGCCCTGAGCAGAGGTTACAACACACCAAAACTTCCTGCCCCCACCTTGGCTGGGATGGAAATCTGTGCAACAAATGGGTCAGCTATAGCTGCACGGATAATTAGGCCATAACAGATACCAACTCAACCAGCCTAGCTTGTTAGAGAATAAGGAGTAAACAAGTTCCCAGGTTTTAAGTTGATAGGCTGAATTCAAGTTCAAACAAGGGGACCCCAGCCAATCCCTTTGAACCAGGAATGCACCTGTATCATTGGCCAGTGAGCTGGGCAGAGCTAAGACCTTTGACCAATAATATCTGTAAGCAGGGGAAATTCAAAGCCCTCGCAAAGAGGGCACACATCAATAAACTCTGGCTGTTGCTGCATCAACCTCACTGTATTCCAAATGTTACATTCCTGTCTCCACCATCAGTGGCAGGCTACGGCCTCCCTCACCCCAAGGCAAGCCTGAGATGATTCTTAGCTGGGTTTGGCTCACACTCTTTTCCTTGTTTACTTGCTTGTTTCAGGTGATTGAAGAATGAGTTTTCACTTTATTTAATCTCAGCACTTTGACTTTCAGTCCAAAGTCCCAGTCAGGTATCTTCAGGGAGGCTTCTTTGGTTGTAGCTTCTTTATACAGTTTTTGTTATAATGGGCAAAACTTTATATCAATGATTGAGGCATGAACTATTTCAGACTCTGACAGGTGTACAGGACAGTATAATTACATGTGTAACAAGTTCAATTTCACTGTCCAGTTGCTCCGACTACTCCAGTGTGTGAGGTACCCAGCTCCGCAATGACAGGAACGGTCGTGCAGATGAGTTGTAAGGAAACTGAGGGCTCCCCTCCATCTGAGTACCAGTGGTACAAGAATGGTGTTGCCTTGCTGGAGAAGACAGGAACAGGCAGTGCCAGAGCAGCAAACATAACTTACACCATGAATAAAAAGTCTGGCACTCTGGTAAGTGTAATAACCAACTCTGTCATAGACAGTTATCAAGGAAACCAAATTTACTGTTCAGTAAAATGATGCACAGGGGTCTAAATCCAAAAATTCACAAGGTTTTTGTTGGAGGTCAATATCATGCTGAAATGTGCTGAGAAATGTAGAAGGTGGTTCTGCCTCAAACCAGTGACAAGCCATAGACATTGAATGATACACACAAAGTGGGTGAGGTGCAAGGCTGCAGTAGTGATAACTGAGAATCTAGAAATACATGACAAATTTTACCTTGTCAGTTGGTAAACTAGTAAGTAAGTTGGTAAACTAGTAAGCCAAGTAAGAATGAGCTTTCAGTATGGCAACTGAGATCTATTTGACAGAACTTTAAAATTTGGAATAGTAGCTTCATACACTTCAAGGGGAGTGCAGCACTCAGGGCAGTACAGAATCTCTGCAGTCCAGTGCCATTTACAAGTTCCCATCCAGGACCTGTGAAGTCAGGGGGAATAAGTTGGGACTGTAAGTAAGCTTAGTTCTTCATTTTTGTTATAGTTTGTTTTGTGGGTTGTGTCTCTCTCTCATTCTTCCCCCGCTAGCTGATCCTTCAAAAGAGCTTGATGCTACTTAGGGAGCTGAGATTTTTCAGAAGAGTTGCTCTAAGAACAGTACTCTTGTGCAAAATCAAACATGGAAACTGAAGTATGACTAAGCATTCAGATGTTCTGAATGCTCATCACGGAAATCAGATGGATACTCAAACTTACTAATCACTTCTCAAAATATCAAAGTATGGCATACATTAAAAAGAAACAGTTAAGAAGTCTAATAATTAGGAAAATAGAAATACTGGAATTGATATGAGGTCAGTTTCTATTCATCTCTGTTACAGATCAAGTGAGAGCTTTAGAAAAGCCCTGCCTTAGGCTTAGATTTTTTGCAGCAGCTCTACTTAGGTGACCTGCACCTAAATGGCTCTGGCTCACAAGTTGTTAAGAGTGGACAGTTAGGTCTACCATAAATGATTTACTGATTGAATTGGCAGAAAGTAACAGACAAGAGGCCTTAAACAGTTATTTATTTCACATTGTAAAATAAAAGAACTACTAGTAGGTTACCTAAAACCGTGCATGATATTAAGGTACCTATACTACAGCTGGCAAGGAAATAGTATAGGTTAGGAGTCAGTGTAACTTACCACTGAATTGCTGATAGCATACACAGAGTCCTTACACTCAGCCCCCAGGAGAGGAACCACAAAGTGGGGTCCTGACTTTGGGGGGGAGACCCCACGCATTTCCAGGGAATGTGCAGAAGATTTCAGCTTTGTGAAAATGTGGTGTAGCTTTTACAATTTGTAAAGTGAAGTGTATGTCAGTCAGAAATTCCAGCTTGTCTTTCCATACCTGCTTCCACAGCAAGATGTTTACTGTTAGCTGAAAGCATCAATCCCACGGCGATGAAATAATTCACTACAAGATAAACTGTCCTGATTGAGTTACTTCACCAAGGCTCCTGTGAGGCTCATGTGAGAGCAAGATGCTCTGAATTATTGCACCAACTAACAAGCATCAGATAAGCTCTTCTGTAGTGGGGGGAGATGTCCTGCCAGTCTCATTTTAATTTCATTTTCATTTTTACAGTAGTAGTATTTGATAAATAGTATGGTTTAGCATTTCTCTGTTGGAAGAAGACAAAGTGCTCAAATTTTGGAGGGTTGAGAACCACCCAAACAACTCTTTGCTTCTGAAAAATTTCAGTTGACAATGCATCGTAAGCAGTATGCATCAAGTTTTTTGAAGGATCAGTTAATGGAGTTGTTGTTTTGATAAAATGAAGAAACTGATTTCGGGTATTCTGAAATTAGAGCATGTCTAAAATAGTGGATATTATTGGAAAGTTCTGGTCCACTGAAAATGATACACTTGTAGATACACTCCACTGAGTTAAATGTCCATCTAAAGGAACCTCTTAGGCAACAAGCAGAAGTTGAAGGACCAGGGAATGCGACTAGGGAGCTGTTAGAAGGTTGAAATGGACCAGAATTTCTTACTGGCCTTCAGGGTTTTTTGGGTTTCATTTGGGTTTCATTTTTGGGTTTCATTTCAAACAAACAAATCTACATTGACATGTCAAAATTTCTGTCCTACAGGATTTTTTTTCCCCTGTTCTGGTAATGATTTTGGACTCTTTCTTAACAGCTGTTTAATACAGTTACAAAGAATGACACTGGAGAGTATTTTTGTGAAGCCTCCAATGGGATTGGATTATCTCAGAAATGCTCAGTGAAGCGAATGCAAGTTGGTAAGTGTTAAAGAAAATAATGGTGGAAAACAGTCTTGCAGTAGGATTTATGTAATTGCATGGTACAACTAAGAATCTAAGACCAGATTGATTTAAATATTTTTATTTGATTATGGTATTTGGGGGGAGGAGAAATAATAAGTTCCTTATCAGAGTAATTAGCTTTTAGATTGCCAAACACTGAATTCACAGAAAATCACCAGCCATATGAGAACTTTAATATTTCCAAATGCTTTTGTGGAAGGCTTACAGAAAAGTGTGCCAGTCCACTGGGGTGTTTTCTTCACATAAAGCCTTCCTTTTGGGATTCATTCATGGGAAATCTTAATGTAACAGTCTGTAACAACCCAAAATGTGTGAGGAGGTTTTTTTTGCAAAGTGTACAACTGGTTCTTGCAGATATCATAGGAAAGCAAATGGTAACAAAGCCTAATAACTACTGCAGGGAAGATCCTGTCCAAGTGTATGGAACTGCAAAGTTCCATATGGTGCTTTCATGGAACTTAGCTGAAAATCATGTCATGGGTTTTAATGCATTCTTGGTGGATTATGAGCAAATGTTCCTCAAGCTACTGAGATAGAATCACTTTGTGAAAATATGCACTAAGACCTAAATTGCTGTCAGCCTAAATTGTACAAAAATTTGGTGGGGTTTTGGGGTAAAAATCTCAACTATATATCGAAATATGCTTAAAGTTGGGATCCAGATAATTGGAAACATAACAAAAACCTATGAAAATTTTTCTGCTTCTTAATAATTTTGGTTTTCCTATAATGTATGATAGTCTGAAGTTCTTAGTGAGTATATCAGGATATGGGTGTGGTCTTTGTCATGGTTGAAGTCAAGCCATCACCTTAAAAATAAATATGGCCAGATGTTTCAGTAGCCTGGTGTAGAGTTTAACTTCAAGCAACTCAGCTTTATTGTGTTGTATTTTTAAAGCCTTGCTATTTAAAAATGTAAAAATCACTGCATTTCCAAAAATGAAGAGTTCTTTAGAAGTGGAACTCAATTGCCATCAGCTGTTTCACTTGTGTTAAGCAAATTAACTATGAAAAAACTGGCTTTAACACTTACAAAGATGTCAAGACGTTTTTCCTCATAGACGTATGCCTTGGGGTAATACTTATCTGGGGTAGATATGATAAGGAATATGTATCCCTTGGTCCTTCTTATTCTTTCCTTACTTTTGACCCAAACTAAGCAGCTGATGTGTACCAAGCACTTGTGTTAAAGTGGCTGTGGCGCATTAGTGCTTTTTACTGCTTAAATACATCTAACTGTTACTAATTAACTTATGCATCTTGGGCCAAAGCCAAATATATAGATATTTTTGTATCCATATCACCTATAGATACAAAAATGCCTGTGGTAATTAGGGAAAAATCCAGCCAGTGGAAATTTCTACAATTTAGAACAAAGGACTTCTGCTTTATAATTACAGATGACCTTAATGTAAGTGGTATCATTGTGGCTGTAGTAATTGTGGCTCTGGTGATGGTGCTGTGTGGCCTTGGAGTATTCTATGCCCAAAAAAAGGGCTACTTTGCAAGTAAGTAGAATAAAATCACTCCTTCCTTGAGTCAAAAAATGTCTTTATTTAGCAGTGTTTCCATGACACTTTCTCTTGCCTAGAGAAGCTGTGGCTGCCCCATCCCTAGAAGTGTTCAAGGACAGGTTGGAGGGAGTCCTGAGCAACTGGATCTAGTGGAAGGTGTCCCTGCTTATGGCAGGGAGCTGGAACCAGATGGTCTTTAAGGTCCCTTCCTACCCAAACAATTCCATAATTTTATTATTCTGATGATGCCCTCCTTTCCATGAAGGTTCTAACTCCATGGTACTAAAGCTGGAGAGCATTAAAACAGCAATATTTTGTGCAGACATTTTTATTCTGCCAACATCTACTGCAAAAGGTACTTTGAAAATGACATGGAGATGTTTGTGCTAAGGCTACCAAACAACAACCTAGGGAAAGCAATGAGCCTGACTCTGGTTCTTGGAACCTCTCCACCCTAGTTTTGATAAGGAATGCCTAAGAAAGGCAAAATAGGCAAAATAAAATTAATCCTGTTTTAGTCAACAGTGCCTGACCAACTAAGTTCTGATGAAAGGGAAATTAAATTAACTGTCTTCTTCCTCTGGGTCATGGAAAAAGTTTGCTTTTAGGGATTGCTGCATAAAGCTTAACATCCAGCAACCCTCTCTGTAGCCTTTACATTGGAACCTATAGGCTTGAGCACAGCAACAATAGATGCCAAACATGGGGTCTGAAAAGGTCAGCTGCCTGAAATTACCAGAGGCAACAGAGCTGCTCATTAGAGTTCACTTGGGGCTTCATTTACCCTTGAAACCTAATCTTTCTTCTGCCTAAACTCACTACACCAAAAAGAGACATTTGGTTCAGAAACTCCTTCTAGAAACTGAAGAGCTGAATATTCTAGAAATAACTACTTCAAAGAACTTTAAAACAGCTAAGGAAAACTGTTCTTGTGCTAATTCTTTTTTTTTTTCCTTTCTTTTTCAGAGGAAAGTTCTTCCCAGTAAGTATGCAAGCAGTACATAAATCACTGCAAACCTCATTTACATTTCAGATGATTTAGTAACTCTAATGATTTTTACAGCCTTTCTAACGTGATTTTTGTGCAATAGCTTTCTTGACACTGAGATAAACCTGATCCTACACACTAGCTGGTTTCCTTAATAGAAACCAGTGTGCTGGTCAGAAAGTGAATCATTACATTGCTGTGGTAAATACACAGAGACATGTCTTTTTACATAGTTACAGCTTACACTTCTAACTCATCTATTCATGTGTCTCCTCTTCAAACTAGACAAAAAACTATCAGAACCAAATTGAACTGCTCTCATATCCATATCTTCAAGTTATTTCAGGAAGTGTTTTGTAAAAATGTAACTGGTAGAAACTTCCTGACAGTGCCTGGTCTATTCTTTTGATATGCATTTATTTCACTAAAATTTCTTAGTAGCAAGAATTCCCCCAAGCTATTTTAGTTCTGGCCATGAGCTAGACAAAAAGTGTAACTGGAAAACTTGGAAAGAGAAGCTAGAGAGGTGTTTGGCAGTGGTTTGTGAGATAATGACTGCTATCTAAAAGTATTCAATGGATTTGTTATTGTAAGTTTTTTTCTGAGAGGAAGGGAGAAATCCCTGAGGATTGCTGGAAATCTGGAAAAATGCATTCATATAAGGCTCTCAAAGGGGTAAACCCAACACCAGAAAAGTCAGTTTTTAACCTCTATTCCTTTCCTGCTCTGTTAACAGAAAGAAGACAAACTATCAATCTACAAGTGAAAAGGCAAGTTTTTTGTGTTCACTAGTGTGTTTGAAAAGCTTTAGATATCTTCAAAGTTCCTTAGATCTGTAATGTCTTTCCACATGTGCACATACTCCTCACTCCTGCTGTGCCCGTATCTGGCAATACTTTATCTGCATTTACAGCTTCCTATTGCATGGTCTTAAGTGCAACACTTTGCATCTCCATACTTTGCATCTTCTTGTACATATTGATTAACTAACTGAGACACAGTCCAAGACAGCAGTGAGAGAAAGATTGGGCCCTAACTCTTCTAAGAATAATGTGAGTCAAAAGACTTGAAATATGGAAGCTGAATTTACTACTTCCACCCCACTTCCTTGAGTCAGCTCAAAGGGCTTTAAATACATCTACTTGGTTCTAGCTTTTCAGATTGGTGCAAAAGGAATAGAGTTCTATGTAAAACTTCAACTAGGAGTGACTCAATATCACTATCTACAGTTTAAGGACAAGAGGAGTTAAAGTAGCATGAGTAAACTGATGTAACCTTAAAAGATCCCTGAACACAACCCATTTTCTTAATCAAAACAGAACATACTAAATTGCATTAGCTTAATCCTTGACCTAGTATGTATATAAGAAATTTCCTGAAACAAACTGTTGGCTCTGAGTGAGATAGATAAAGATTTGAAGAGCTATGGTAATTGTTTATTATTGTTAATGCACTTAAAAATCAGATGCTCTGAACAGAGATGTTTGATACCTGTATTTATGAATAGGTTGCTACTTCTGCGTAGAGTACATTTTGTAGATCTCTCATCTCAGAAAAAAACATTTACTAACAGTACATCAGACACATTTCTTGTCAAGTTCAGTGCCTTAGTTTCTTCTGAAATGTACACTAAATATTAACCTGCTTAAAATCTTTGAGCTATTATTTATTGTAACCTTGTTTGCTTCATTTAGGATTTCAAGCATACCAAGTCCTTTGTTATTTAGAAGATTTCAGCCTCTGTGAGGGACATCAAATTACTACTTGTTATACAAAAGTATCAATGTCCTGGTTTCAGCTGGGATAATTTTCTTCATAGTAGCTGTGTTTTGGATTTAATATCAGAATAAAGTTGATAACACACTGATGTTTTAGTTGCTGCTGAGTAGTGCTTACTCCAAGTCAAGGAGCCCTCAGATTCCCATGGTCTTCCAGTGAGGAGGTGCAAAAGAAGCAGGGAGAGGGCACAGCTGGGACAGCTGATCTGAGTTGTCCAAAAGGATATGCAGAATCACAGAATCATCGAACTAGCTGAGTTGGAAGGATCATGAAGTTCATCAGGATCATGAAGTCCAGCTCCTGGCCCTGTACAGGACACCCCAAGAATCACACCATGTGCCTGTCACATTGTCCAAACATTTCTGGAACTCAAACAGGCTTGGTCCTTGGTGAGTGCCTCCACGCCGGAACGTCACTCCCAGTATTTAAACTGGGGAAGTTGGCCAGGAGGAGCCAGCTGCTGCTGGGGGACAGGCTGGTCATCAGTCCGTGGGTGGTGAGAAACTGTTGTGCATCACTTGCCTTTTTTGGGCTTTACTCCTCTCTCTCCTTTTCACTACAATTAATAGGACTGTTGTTTTTATTATTAGTAGTATTATTAGTATCTTACTTTGTTTCAATTATTAAACTGTTGTTTTCTCAACCCACCAGTTTTACTTTTTTTTTTCCCAGTTCTCCCACTGGGCTGGAGTGGGGACAGTGAGCAAACAGCCACATGAGGCTGAGCTGCTGGCTGAGCTGCTGGCAGTTCTTTTTGGCACCCATTGTGGGGCTCAAAAGGTTGAGATAAAACCAGATCTGACTAGAGCATGTTAAAACAAGTTTGTTATGAGCCTTCATTGTATTGGTTTAATAGTTGCCGGTCACCATATTGATTCATTTGCTCTAGGCCTGGGCTAAGGTTATCACTGTGTTGTTCTGTGTTGTCTTGGCTTGTGAGATGATGGAATGACATGAGCCTGTCTGGTGTGTCCCCTCTGTCCTTTGGGAGCCACCTGCTGGAAACTATCCACAGTTACATCTACTGCCTTTTACCCTCAGAGAGCCAGCCCATGGGAAAAACACGTTCCTTCCCCTCAGGATAATTACAATAGCATTTGAGAATTTAAAAGACTTTGCATATCCTGTGACTACCCTTGAAACCAACCTGGTCCTTTTGGTAACAATCAGTGTGTTGTTGCATTTGGTTCAGGCCTTATTTAGGGTTAGGAAATTATCTGTGACAACTGAAACCCCACTGACGTGTACTGAACCTACACAAACTTCAGTAACAGGCCAATAAGAGGCAACCACTCAATCCTTATTCCTGAGTGAGCTGCAGGATATACAAAAATATTTCAGCTGTTGTCCTGATGAGCATCCTGCCACCTAGCTGTTGCAGTGCTGGGATAATGGGACTAATAGGCTGGAACTAGAGGGAAGGAATCACTTTCTAAGAAAGCAAGCATTGACAAGGTGATTGCAAGAGAGACACAAGTCCCCAGCCTCTGGAAGCGACTCCTGTCAAGCCTGAAGGAAAGGTATCCTTACAGGAATGACACTACATGTCACCATGCAAGTGGAAAGATATCCAATACTTGAGGGAATTAGCCATGCTGGAGATTTATTTTGACCTGGACAATACAAGGTTCCCCACAGATCCAGACCAATTCCTTGGAGGTGGAAGTTTGTAGAGTGTACCAAGAGTACACACCAACCCACTGGCAACATCAATCTGAAAAGACATCACACCACCATCTGTGGATACAGTGAATTGCCATCTCTGGGAATTTGAAGACAACCTCTCTTCCTCTCTCATCTGTGGAGAAACTATCAGATAAACTGTCCCAGGAGTTTCAGCAGCTCAAAGAGTTTATGTTCTATTCCTCACCTCTACAGCCCTATGCTAATGACAGTAAGCATTGGCCCAAGAGGGAGGATATGGAAGGTACACACCATGGGGTACCCTGTGGGTTTAGCTGAGACACCACAGAGTAGGCATGAAGAACTGGGATGGGAGACCTACCGTGACCCTAGAGACATGAATTGTAAGGTAAACAATCCCAAATTGAGGTTCTTCCAGGAAAGCTGCTACTCCCATCTCCAGTGGATGGTTTCCCAGGCAGAGTGGAAGGGCTGAATTTACTCCTGATCCTATAGAAAGAAATTCTAATCCATTTCTTCAAAATGTAAGCTTAGATGTAGGTTTTTTGAAAACGCATATTCCAAACTAGTCTAATTGTAAGCCTTCTTTATCAAGTGATTCAGAAGAATGATTTCACATGGGGCCCTGAGCAACACCTTTTCAACAGAATAAACTAGAAATACTTGGAAAACACAGATGCTTGGGCCAAGAAACATGGCATTTAGTGGGTATATTGTATCATGCACCAGCTGAGAAAACCACATGATCCAATGGACTGTTAGACTACACTGAGATCAATGGCCAGGGGGAACCTTCAAACATTGGGATGCACATTGGCAAAGGCCACCTGGTGAGTCATCTGCCGAGTGGGCTGGCCCTGCCCAATCAAAACTTTTACTGTAGAAGAGAATAAAGTTCCTGTAGTGCACATGAAAACTGTGCTGATGAAGACAGTCTGGGTTGTTCCTGCCTTGGGCAAAGGCAAACTCATCTGTGGGATTGTTTTTGCTCAAGGACGTGGGCACACTTGTTAAGATGGAAGGATCTGCAAGTCTGGTTTGTGCATTGGTTTCATTGAATAGCCAGTGCATTGTGTGATGTTAATTGCTGTGAAATGCTGTGTATTAGCACTTCTACATCAGCTGCATGCCCACAATTGCACTGGACACCTCATGGTGCCTGTCTCCACCCCTCCAGCTTTGGGGATCACCCAGCTCCCCTTCAACTGCCATATTAAGAATGAACTGTGATGTAACGGGACAAGCAGAGCAGTGATGGAATCAGAACTGGCTTCAACATGCAACAATCCAACACCAGACACCCTCTTTCCTGCCCTGAAAGACTGTTTAAGCCAAAAATCATGGACTGAATGAATTCAACAGACTTCTGCAGGGATTGTCTATAGATTAAGTAAATCCTATCTGTGTGTGCATCTATAAAAAGACAGGAAAGGTGCTGGTATATCAGGAAGTGTGGGATCTGGCATGACATAAATGGTATGGAGTAAGCAGCTGATACTTCTCTGGTTTCAGCTGGGAGTTAATTTTCTTCCTAGTAGCTGGTACAGAGCTGTTTTTTTTTAATTAGTAGTAGAGTAATATCAGTAATACAATAATGTTTCAGTTGTTGCTCAGCAGTACTTAGCCTGACTCAAAGACTTTTCAGTGTCTGATGCTCTGCCAGTGAGAAGGTGCTCAAGCCACAAGGGAACAGGGCCAGGACCCTGACCCGAACTGGGCAAAGGAATAGAACATCATGCCCAGTATTTAAACTGGGGGGAGTTGGCTGGGAGGGGCCATTTGATGCTGGGGAACAGGCTGGGCATCAGTCAGTGAGTGGTGATGAGCACTTGTGCTCTGCATCACTTGTGCTTCTCAGGTTTTCTCTTTCTCTCTTTTTCCCATATTATTACTTTGGTTCAATTATTTAAGTGCTTTATCTCAACCCACAAATTTTGTTTCTAATTCCCTTCCCTACAGTAGGGGGAAGGGACAGGGAGTGAGCCAGAGGCTATGGGATGCTTAGTTGCTGGCTGGGGTTAAAACCACAAGGGATCTTTTGGCCTCTGCTCTGTAAATATTGTTTCCATGTCTTACATGCTGAAAATAAAAACTGCCAATATTTAGTCAACCCAGCTGTGATGGTATTTCAAAAAAAAAAAACAACCCCCAAAAAACTTGAAGACAAATTAACTTGTATATTCAATTTAGTTCTGTGTGAAAGCTTCTCATTTTGTTCATATGTACATGCAGCAATACAAGATTCACTCTTGCAGCTTGGAACAATCTATTCAAATAACTTTCATAGGTGATCTCACTACTTGTGTCTCAACCATTGTCAAGAGCTCAATTTCTCCTGCAATTCTGATGTACTAGGACTTAAGAGATGACTTTGGCAAATCTGATACAATTGCAAAGCATGTAGCAGTAAACTCACTATTCTGACAAAATAAATCTTCCTGTAATAAAAGCTCAAGCAGTGTTTTAGTGTTTAATGTGGAAGTCTCTCTCTCTCTCTCTCTCTGTAGACTGCATATGTGGTTTCATTCTGAAGAAAAATCATGTCAATACAATTCAAACTGTAGTATGAAGACTGTCAAAGTGTTTATGTAGTTTCTCAGATATAATTTTTATAAATAAATAGCTCCTCAGAAGCTAAAGTGTTTGTGTCAATAGTTCAGTTGCAGAAATTCACACCCTACAACCTCTTTAGCAGATTTCCTTTTCTTCTGGAAGATTAACCTCATCACCTTTGTGTTCATTGATGCTGTGCAGAATTAGGGCTTTTGTGCCTGTGCTTTTGATTGTGCACCTCCATCACTACTGTAGGGCTTTGCTACAGACTTAAGGTTCATGGAGATTTTTTTTTCTGCAGAAGCTTTTTGGATAAACTCAACAGAACAAATAGCTCCTTCCTGGTGTATCATTACAAGTGTCATAATATCTAAGCATTAAAACACAGCACACAAAGGAGTTTTGCAGTTAACACTGAGCAGCACTATCAGCTGCCTCTGTCATGTAAGAGTTGATGATCACAGCCAGCTACACTCACCATGCAATTAAGAGCTTCTTCACACCATGAAATCAAACTGAAGTACTACATTTATTAAATTACAATTGGTGCCAGGTTCAGCAACAGCATGGGTGTACATTGCTGTTTGGTGTACAAGCTGCAGAAATCACTTTGGAGTCTCCTCAAACTTGGGCTCTACAGGAGGAATGGGAGAGAGAAAATTCCAATTAGTCTCTTTTTTATTCCATCTTCAAACACCACAATTAATTTGTAATTAAAAGAAAAGTAACCATTAGATTGGCAAGCTAAGGCAGTACATTGCAGTCTACACCTCCACTGACTGATTAAACGTGAGCAGCAGTAAACAATAAGTAGGATGGAGACAGGTCGTTTTCACCTTGCAGGAGTTATGTATAAAGGCTAAGCCTCAGTAATGTTCTGCCTAAACAGCTTTTAGTGACACCTGGCACAGGGTAGAAGACAGCAGAGAAACTGAAGAAGTCAACCAGAACATTACTGGGTGAGTATTTCCAACACAGCTCTAAGAACAAGTAATCTTTCTTCTCTCCCTTTCATTAGTGTATCATCAGTGTTTATTAACAGAGAGGAGCACCCAATTTCAACTCAACTCAGCAAGATGCTCTCAGTGCAAACACTGACCAAGGAGTTCTTGATGTCAAAGGTACAGGCTCACCAAGGTTAGGGCTTTGGGCCCTAATGCCTGCTGTCTTTAATACAAAGTCTGAGAGGCAAGGGTCAGCTTATAGTAAGCAACCCTAAGGTAAAGAAATTGATGTTCCTACTCATATAATTACTCAGATTAATTACAATTTGAAACCTAATTGAAATTTGATCAAGGATAGGCAACAGTGGCAAAAGAACAAAGTCATGTTGTGTCTGTGCTTTGCTCTGTTCCTATGGTCACATAAATTCTTTTTCCTTACAAAAACAAGTAAAATTTTAATATGCATAGTTTCACATATGACACAGAAATAAAACAGAATGTAGAGAAACTACATCCCTAAAATTGTGGAAAAATGAAACAGAAAAACCATAGATCCTAATTTACAGGTACTCTGTTTTATCTGCACCAGTACCAACCTGACACCAACTTTACCCAACTGAAATACTACCAAAACCCAAAACATTTTCAGGTGTGTTCCAAGTCTAAATTGGAATTCCCAGACAGTCTGATCAGAACTACAAGCTGCTCACTATGGTTGCTTGGCCTTGGCTGGCTGCCAGATACCCACCAAGCTTCATGCTGTCTGCCCTTTCCCTTCCACACTAAAACAAACTTAGAGCTGTTAAACAGACATCATATCCAAATAGCTGAAGAAAAAGGTTTAATATAATTTAGCCACAAAATATTCATAAGTAAGGAAGTTAAGTCCTATGTTAATTTTCTGAAAAATCAGTGGCTTTCCAGAGGAGCTTACAAAATCAAGAAAGTCACAGTTTGGATGATGTTAAGACTAACTGATATCCACATTATATTCTGCTGATCTTTTTGGCAAGATGAGAAAAATACAGACCCTGAGCTATTTCCATTTGAGGTCTTTTTTTAGGGTGTCTGAAGGACAATTAAGATAGACTGATCTGACTGCAAGTTTTGTTAATCATTAGCATAATGAAGACCACATCCCTGCTAGAAAAGGCAGATAATCAAAACAGGAGTCACATGGAAACAGATGTGAACTGTGCAAAAGCATAACATTCTCAGAGGGCATTTTACCCAAAATTAATGGTACAAATATAAACTAAAGGAGAATTTAAGAAACCTGTGAGTGAACATGTCTCTAGCTGCAATTAGAATTCAGTAAGATTGTTAACTTACCCTCAAATTTAAATTCTGGAAACTTGGTGAGATCTCCCTCCCCATACGCTCGCTGGAGTCTTGCAAGGGATTCATTCATATCTTTTTGAAACTCAGGCCCTGCATCAACAGGCCCTCCAGCTTGCCTAATAAACATTAAAAGTTGTGATTAACAACTCAGTTCTAATATTTCACATGGAAAATTCTATGTTTGCAAGCCCATTTATTAATGAAAACCTTTCTAACAGCCAGTCAAAGGAAACAAAATATTTCCAAATCTATATGACATCTTAGGGCCTCCTTACCTTACACACAAACAAGGTTCTCAGGGTAAAGGTTTTCTGCAGTCAGTGATGAAAATCCAGCTATCAGAGATGAAAATCCAAGCCTTTTGAGACAAGAGGTGGTCTTACTAGGCAAAACCACTGATGAGTATGGAAGCTCTCAGGCTTTTAGTTTTGTATGTTCCAGGTGTGAATTCCTAACAAAACTGTGATTTGCACGTCTTCTGTCTCTGAACTAGTTACCTCAGTTAGTAAAGTTTAACTGTTCTTGTCAAGAAAATGCATTTTGAATGCTAAAGAAGCAAAAATCTCCTCCACAACAGGAGCTTCTTGGCATTCAAGCATCAGATAACTAAAATAGTAACTCTTTAGACTGCCAGCACTCAGTTGTACCAGCACAGGATCCATGCTTAGAATTGGTAAAAATCACCAAGTATCTCCCTCCCTCTACAGATAGGTTTGTAGGTAGGGATAGACACATCTTCTACCAGTAGAGCTAGGAAGCATCTTAATTCCTTCCCAGGAATACTTCCCAAGAATAAATTACACAGAATTCCTATAGTTTTCGTTTCCTGGTCAGCAGTTCATTCAAACTTTACAAGAATCTAAGATTCCATTTGAGGGAACTGCTTATTAACTTAAGCAGTTAAGTAAATGCACCATCCTGATAATTCCATTAATTCTTAATTGGTTTTGGAGGCTATTTCCATTCAGCTTCTGGAAACAAGACTACAGAATAACTGTTTTCCCCAGCCAAAAAAAAACCATAAAAAAAACCAACCAACCAACAAAAAAGAAAGGGTTTATTTAGCGTCCCCCCCCCTATTTATAGAGCATGTAGATGGGTAAAAATTAACATACCAGTACATTTATACAGTGTGCAAGAGACCTTAACTGTGTAGCTTAACTGCCCAAGAAAGAATGGCATCAGATTTTTTCTTTTTTAAGACAAAAAAAATTGCTATTTTCTATTAGATATGCAAGAACAATCTTTCCCACCAGTGAAACCACAAATGTTGCAGAAAAACACACCTTAAATATTTACAGACCAGCCTACAGAAGTATCAAACTGTGAAAAATCAAACACTTCAGGTATGATGTCTTTAAGTCAAAATCAACAGATTTTCCCCTTAAGACAATTTCCTTTACTTACTTGCTCTTGGTGTTGTACTCTCTGATCTTGTCCACGAAGAGCTTCTGGACGGGGTCGAGCTCTTTTGCCTTGTTGAAGGCAATGGCAGAGAGCCCAATGTTCCTGCGCAGGTGAACAGACACGGCGGAGTGGAAAAGGGAGGAAAGCCGCAAGATCTGCTGCAGGATCATGGTGGCACTACTACTTTGACCATTAATAAAACACGAAATCAGGAATAAAAATATTAGTCATGGCAATATAATAAATGCATTAAGAAAGGAGGAAAAAAAAGCTTGGAGCTAAAACAAAAAAAATATTTCCTTTAGGATATTATTAAGATAAGTGCATAAGAAGAAAGGAAAATGTACTTTGGAGCTGAGCTTTAAAGTTCAATACCTCCAAGAGAGGTAGTCAAAGGTTATTTAAAACAGCATGGCGGGGAGGGGAAATTCCAGCAACCACTGAACCCGAGGGCACCGTGATGCCACGGCTGCAGCTCCGCGACCCGTTCGGTACCGCGATTCGGTACTGTGGTTCGGTACGGAACCGCGACAGAACAACCCAGACAAACCGTGAATTCTGCCCTTCGCGTTGTTTAAGTAGGAAAAAAAGGCGACACTTCCAAGCCCAGAGTCACCTTGGCCGAGCCGCTGCCTCCGCTCGGCCCCGCCGCCCTCGCAGTGCGCGCCGGGAGCCACCGTCCCCCCCCCGCCCCTTCCACCCGCACACCCGGGGCCGCCCCACCCGCACACACTGCCCGGCCCCGCTGAGCGCCCCTGGGACAGCGGGAAGAGCCCCGGGAGAGCCCAGCACGCACCGTCCCCGCACAGAGCCGCCTCCAGCCGAGGGAAAGGGGCTCAGGGCCTTCCGGAGCCGCGGGGCCTGCCGGGAGCCGTAGTTCGTGCGGGGGCGCGGCGGTGTCGCGCGTTTCCCCGCGCTGGGCCTGCGCGCCGCCCCGATTCTGGTGCAGCCCGCTCCTGGACCCGCTCCCGGAGCCGGTCCTGCACCCGGAGCTGGGGGAGTTCCTGGACGCGGACGGACGGCGGGACGTGCCGGTGCGGCGGGCGGGCGAGCGGACGGACGGACGGACGGACGGACGGTGGCGGCGGCGGGTGAGCGCGGCCCGGCCCGTGTTTTGTTTCCGTTTCTCTCCCGGCGGCTCCGCGGTCCCATTTCCGTTTCGGGTTCAAACAACGACGCGGAGGCGCCGCGGGAAGCGGGGCCCACGGGGAGGTGGCGCTTTGGCGGCCGTGGGGAAAGGCCCTGGGATCGGGAACCGAGGGCTCCCGCCGCGGGGATCGCGGGGCCTCCCCGGCGTGTGAAAACTTATTCCCGCTTGTAAAAACCCTGCTTTGGCCGAACACGTAGCAGCATGTGTGGCGTCTTGTGGCTCTCCCCTTGCCGTGGTGAGAAGCCTCTCGAGTGATGTGTCCAGTTCTGGGCCACTCTTTCCGAGAAGGACATTGAGGGGGCTGGGGGGAGTCGAGAGAAGGGCAGCGGAGTTGGGAAAGGGTCTGGAGCGCAAGTCTGATGAGTGAGTCCCCCCACACTCACCTCGGGGAAAAGCAGGCCCAGGGAGGACCCTGTATCTCTGTACAATTCCCAGACAGGAGGTTGCAGCCAGGTGGGCTCTGCTCCTCTGCAGACCAGTAATAAAGAGTCCTAGGCTGTGCCAGGGGAGGTTTAGGTTGGACAGCAAAAAGAATTTCTTCCCTGAAGGAGTGATTAGACGTTGGAACAGGCAGGCAGGGAGGGGGTGGAATCACCATTCCTGGAGATGCTAAAGGAAAGACTGGATGTGGCACTTAGTGCCATGGTCTAGTTGGTGTTCAGTCGGTGTTCATGATGTTCAATCATGATGATTTTGAAGGTCTTTTCCAACCTAACTGATACCATGATCTTGCATAGTTTGCTTCCTAGTGTTTGGGCAGGTACATGCTGCACAGCCACAGCTCCCAGTTTGGCTTTATTTTCTCACTTCAGGCTGTTTATAGGGAAGTTAAACACATCAAATCTGGTGTGATTTTCGCCCACCCTGTTCAGTGCTCCACTATCTCCATCATAAAACTGAACTGGCTCATGATTGTAAAAGCTGCTCTGTAAAGGACAGGCTGTCTGCTTTGTTACCTGCTTTGTGTTGGTGTCTATAATTTGGATCATATGGAATCATTTGCATCATTTGGATGGACAGGAACCATGTGCTGCACACAGCAGAGCTTCTCTGGGGCACAAGTAACTCCAGGGACTGGGCTTCAGTATCAGCTGGTTATGTGTGTGAGCTCCAGAGCTGGACCCCATCTCACAATTACCTGGTGGGATAGCAAACAATTCTACTCCTAGAGTTTGTGCCCATTTCCCAGTGGGCTCATTCCTTGCTTAACTCCTTGTGTTCTAGGAAAAAGATAGATTTTCAGCAGAATGGGGGACTACTCTCCTTACTGTAAAGGATACTGGAGTAGCACTGGGCTGTCACATGGGGAAAAGGCTCTGTTGACCATGCCTTCTTGTATGTTAGGGGAGGTCAGCGTTCTTCTTGGCTAACTGGTAAGTCCTAGGGCTTGTTAGGTTGAAGGAAAAAGTAGAAACAAGCAGAAATCAGTAGGCTGAGCCTTCCAGCAATCAACCACAGGTTTTATGTTCCTTTGAACAAGTGCTGCTGTTGAAGTGTTCCTGCCACATGAACCCTCCATGCAAGCCAGGCTCTTTGAGCCTTCTTGTCTCTCAGCAGCCTTCAGGGAAGGGGCAGGCAGTTCAGTCCCATATGAACCTATATTCGCATTCTAAGACTGCATCATCCTGTAGGAGCAAACTGCTAGACTTCATGTGAAATGTTCATATTGTAAGAAATCTCTTTATGCTAGTATAGGGAAGACTGAATAATTTCCCCCTTTAGGCTTCTGTGAACTTTAATGACTTTATGTGTTTGCATTATATTGTTATTCTTTATACCCATCTCCCTTCTTTGTGTCTGTGCTCAGCAGAACCATCTTTCTTCCTCTTTGTGTGCCTGCTCTTTGTGCACCTGCTTTTTGTGCCTGGGTTCCTCTTTCCTGTCCCTCCAGGGATCTGGAAATATAGCAAAGCCTGAGAGATTCAAGCATGAGCTGCCTTTGAAGAGGGAGTGAGCAGTCACTAGTCCCAGCTGCCAGTTGGGAGTCCAATCCATAGGGACTTCTAAATGCCTTAACTAAGTCTGTGCTGCTGCTGCGGGCAGTAATATTTTCTCATTCTCATCACTTTGCATTTAGCTGTATTGAATTATTTCTGGCAGAAATCTATCAAGGTGGTGAGTTCTTTCTGTAAGTTTGCACTGTTTTCTCAGTAAATAACATATGAATATGTCAAAGAACAGAAATCCCAGCCTAACCCCTTTGTGACCTTACTGGTAAACTCCCTTCATCACAAAAAAGACAATTTACCTTGGTTTTCTGTTTTTAATCTGATTGCTAAAACAGAAAAGACATTTACCCCTTTTTTATCATATCAGTTTGCTTCTTTGGAAGTTTTCAGCAAGAGACATTGCTCAAATCTTGGGTTTGAAATATTTTTTTAACAGTCTGACAGATCACCTGTAACCATGTGGGTGTCAGTGCATTCAGATATTTAAGCCTGTCTGCATTCTTCAGAGGTTGTGTTTCAGCCTTTCCCATTTATCATGAGAATAATACACGAGATTAAGTAATACAGGAATTGGATTCCTGGGCCCTATTCAGTGGAGACTACACTGGCCCTTTGGAGATTTTCATGGAGCCAGATCTGTGAACAGGTTCTGGGTTTGCTTCTAGTGGTGAGATGTTGATAAGGTGTTTTTTTTCTTCCTAACCATGGTAGTGTCTTACAGAATTAACCACATGGAGCACTTGAATTCTTGACAGCTAATCTTACAGAATAGTTTTTGAAGGAGATGATGAGTAGTTTGAATTTCTTTAGACAATTTACATAGCAGCTGTAAAACACAGTTGGCTGCTATTGCTTCTGAGAACTTTTAAAGATTATATCCTTATTATCTTGTCTTCAGTAGATACTCTTGCTAACAGTTGGTTTGGGATAGAGTAGTACCTGGGAAAGGAGGATTCCAGGATGGAAATCTTGGTGACCTCTTCTATTTGGCCATTTAAATAGTAGCAATGTTTTGCTTTTTCTCCGGTGATTTTTTTTTCTTCCACCGTACTTCTAATTCCTACTTATTTTGCCATGAATTCATGCTGTTATTTATTGTAAACTGTTAATATAATTTGGCCTGGTTTTTATCATATATATTGCATAGTTATGGTATATGTGCTGGTTAGTGAAAAATAGTAATGCCAGACTGACTATGTCTTACAGACCAAGTGCTGTAATTCTTTGCTTGCCACTTATGTTCCCAAGAGGTTCCAGTGTTCTACAGGGTATGAAAATCTGCAGTGTTAGTGAGAATGTTGTCACAGAATAGCTTTTCATTTCATTGCTAACATCCTGCTTTAGTTTGGGACTTCACAAGATACATTCATTGTGTTCATGTCATCAGCTGTTCTCCTATGGGAGGCATGGGTGGAAAGATGAGACAGTCAACAAACACTTTGTTGTTGATTTTATTTGCCTATGAAGAAATCATGCATCTTCTCCCTAACTGCCTCCTGCAGCATTTCATGTAAAGTGCTGCTCAAATTTATAAGCATTTTTCAGCCATGCTAGGAAGGTAGTTTGGATTTTCAAATGTGCTTTGCTGTAGGTGGCCTGTAGCAACAACAAAAAAAATCCATAAATTTGGGTGCCTCCAAGAGAATCAGGCTTTGGGCTCTGTGCAAATGTCTTAATAGTCCCATGTTTGCTTCTAGAACATTTAATTGAGAACAGTATAGTAATATATTTTGTGAAATATGATTTAGGTTTTGGATTTATTTTTGGCTTTAAAAGGCTATTTTGGTATTTGATTTAAAAAAATGTGTGATAGGACACAAAATATTGTCTAGTCTTGTTGGTCTGTGACTTACACAAAAAATTCTTTTCTGTTCGTAGCTCTGTTCTTAAGACATTGCAGCCATGACTAAGAGAGAGGCAGAGGAGCTGATAGAAATTGAGATTGATGGAACTGAGAAACAGGAATGCACTGAAGAAAGGTATGTACTGTCTTTGCTTTTTGGGATCCTTAGGCAGCAGTTAATTGACTAATTAGTTTTTCTGCTTCTTGTCTAATTAAACAGTGGTTTTCCAGAAGTTGAGATGTAGCAACTATAGGAAATCAGTATAGTGCTGCCATGTTCCTCAACCTTCATTATCTAAATCCCAAACTGTTTTGTTTATCTCTTGCTATGTTGTCAGTACTTTACTTTGCCTATTTTCATGTCTGTAGTAGTATGTCTGTGTGTGTGCTGCAAACCTTTCAGCTTCAGTGGATCCTTCTGTAATTGAGATGGACCTTTCTATATCTCCAGTCCTTTGCTTTACTGTTATACAGGATTTGTACAGGATGATTTGTTTCTAACAGAGCAGAAATGATGCTTGGTAACTACTATACCATTGTTAGGGCCATTGAAAGCGTACATACTGAAGTAGGATACCCTCTGATTTAATTACCTCAACCTGGATTTTTAGTTTTGTGTGCTTCCTTTCTAATTTTCACTACTGTGTTTGGAAGCTCAGAGCATCAGTTAATGTGTAGGATAGTGCTGCATTCTGGTCTAAGCACAGAAGAGCAAAGAAAACTAATTCTCTCAGAATAAAACAGATCAAACATAGAAAGGTATGAAATTTAACCCAAAACTTTATTAAAGCCAAATGAGGTTAGATGTTGATACCCAAAAAATTGATATATTTTATTTAATACTAGAGAGAAAGAGAAAAGAAAGAAAAAAGCAATAGAGGTGGGAGGTGGGGTCGGGGAGAGTGACAAATATTAAGTTGAAGCATATCACCCTTCCAAGGTCCCAGTGATATCTTGTTGCTTCCCTCTATCTGATCTTCTTGGAGGTGAGGGTCCCTGCTGAAAAGTAGAGAATCCCATGGATTAATAGACATTTGAGCAGGTGGGAACACACAGGTACCTCCTGGTGGGGGGACAAGTCTGACACTGTCCCTTGCAAGACTGCAATCTGTTGCATCATGTAGGATCAGACACAGTGCAGATCTGGGGACCCCTTTGGTGGGGGGCCCTTGATGAGCCCTGACACCCCCTCAGTTGTCCCTCACACAGATGTGGCCTTCCAGGGGTGGCAGGCCCCACAGCTGGGCCAGTCTGTCTGGTGGAGGATGGGTGATCACTGCGTCTGGCCAGAGGCCATGGCACACACCAAAACCTCTCCTCCTTCCCTGCCTTGGTGCAGGGATCTGTGGGAGCCTGGCAGCAGAAAAACCTGGGGCTGGGGCTGGGGCTTCTACCCCAAAGGTGCTGGGCTTAATCCTTTTGTGATAGATAAGTAATGCAATGGTTGGCTCTCACAATCAAAAGGCAAATATTATATATATGTTAAGAGAAGTTTTACAGTTATGGTTTACCCCCCTTTGCATTGTTATCACGGGGTTACCTGAGTAGTCATGGCATTTGGGAGGGTCAGCTTGTTACTATAGTGGCACCTGACCTCCAATCAAGATGTAAAAAAGTTAATTCCACCACTGGACAGTGAAAAAGGAGTCAAAAAACAGAACTTTGGGAGGGGCTAAAGGGTTAAAAGGCAAAACATCCATTGTGTAGATGAACCAATGGTAGGAAAAATCCTTTGCTCCTGGTTCTGTAATATTTTCTTTATTCAGTCTTATGTTGTATTTTTGATAAGGTTTTAATATACCTTTTAAAATTTTAGAAGTGACTATCATTTATCACACTCTTGTGAATGTATTCTTTTCCCCAAACCCAGACTTAGGTCACTTTATCTTATCTGTCTTAACTTGCAGTTGAGGACCTCAAGTCAGGAGGCCCATTCAGGGTGTGGTGGTGCAGTTCTTGTTACCCACTTTAGCTATATTAGGCAAAAGTCCTTCATAAAGATGTTTAAGCCATCTACCATAACATTTCAGTCTCCAGCAGGTAGAAAGAACTGAGGCTGGTTAGGTTAACTTCTTTTTAAGAACCTATTCTGGAGAACTGACTCAAAGCCACTTACTAGTTTCTTACCGTTTGAAGTTCCTTGTGTATTTTTACCACTTACAGACTATGTGTGTGTACATTCTGGTTTCCTTCTGTGTAAATGAAGAGACTGTGTAAGGTCATTGTTATAGCATGTGTCCCATAACAATGACATTTCCCAATGCTTGTGCCAATACTGTCACTGTTGTAGTGTGGGACAGCCATGTCTTGTGACTAATATAGTTCCTTCAAGGCTCCATGTTGCTGTACTTCTTTCTGGTTGTCCCTTTTATGTGTTAAGCTTATTATTCTTGTACTGACCAGTGAAAAGACATGGAAAGTTGCTGTGTATGAGTGTGAGCATTTTTCCCTTCTATTTTCCCTGTCTGTGTTTCTGTGTTTGCATTTAACTTGAATATCTTTTAAATACAGTCCAGGCAAAGCAAATGAAATTAGTTTACTCTATATGCCAGTTAACATCATGTGATATGCTAACCATGGCTTACTGTCTTGAAAAATGTGATCTGAATCTTGGTATTTACCTGAGCTTTTTAGTGGTGACCGGGTAAAAGAGGAATTACACAACTGTAAAATTAATGAGATCAAATTTAGTGACTGACTCTACTCAAACTAAGAGTACTCAAACTAATTCTGCATTGTCAGTTTGCACCTCGTGGGTGATCAGTTTGGCAAGCTCTGGACCCCAGCAACACCAACAAGGACAAAAGCAAAAGATGAGAGGCACTTTTTCTTCTCAGGGCCAAAGTCCCAGCTTTAATGTAGAACAACTCTGGGAGAGAAAAGAGGGAGTCTGGCAGAGGAAATGGCATCTGGGAGAGGAAAGAGACCGGGTACCTCATGGTGGGAGATTTTAAACTCGGGGAGGAAAGGAACTACAGCCAATGGGGTACAGCTGATGAGAGGGGTAAAGGGAGGAACCAACCTGGGGGAAAACACCTCAGGACATGGGAGGGTGTATGGAGCAAACCCTGTGTTTGTTTTGATACGAAACAAACCACTCAGTGCAAAATAATAACTGAATAAACTACTCAGTGCAATACAAGACTGCATGATATTAAGATTTCAGGGTCAGTATTACTTTTTATCTAGTTTATTTCCAACTTTTATTAAGCTTTCCTGTACCTGCTCTATTAACATGTAAGTAATGATTTATTATATCAATTTGCTATTTAAGCATTGTCGAGCAAAGCTACACCACTGCAGAATTTGTGAGTCAGGCTATTGACATCAGTGAACCCATTGGAAATCTTAAGAAGTTGCTGGAACCCAGACTGCAGTGTTCCTTGGATGCACATGAGATTTGTCTGCAAGATATCCAGGTAAATTGAAAGGTTATGAAAGATTTAACTTTGTACTGGAGAAGTGTTTTACATACTTTTTCCCTTTTTTCCATTGTCTGTGGAATTCATGCTTCATGTGGAATCTTGACTACAGTTAAGAGTTTAATTTCATGTCAGGTTCATTATCATCAGACCATTTAATATATGCACACTAATTCAGTGTGAATACAATCAAAATATTCTTGGAGTTCCTGGTGTGAGGTTAAGAAACCACCTTGCAAGTGAAAGAAGAATGAGGGCAATGACCATACTACTTTCTCTTGACGTAGCCCACATCATTTGTTGCTGCCAGAAGTTCCATAATTCTAATCTTGTTTTTAATCTAAATGAGAAGGTTTCTGTATTATTGAGGTATAGAGGTAGCAAAGCATTACTCAAGAAATCCCCCCCTCCCCATTTTTACAGACATTGGCACATGTTAGACAGTGTAACTGTTTTGTGTTTTATTTGAAGTTACCATCAGACATCTGCGGCTTTTCCAGAAACAACAGGAGAATATTGTTATAAAGATAAAATTTTTTTCACAAAGGTGTTAAAAACTCAGAGAAGGAACTGTAGATAGTTTTCAGGTAGTGGAGGTACCTCCTCCTATTGCATTACTTATTTTAGGTCAAAAAATATTCCTGTAGGCAAAAATATCTTAAACAGAGAGGCAGGTTTCAAATACAGTCAATTCTTTTCTGTTATGTACTATGTCTAAGACAGTGCTAAAAATATTTGCATGCTTCTTCAGAAAATTTGCTGTAGGTACCCAATGTTTCTAAAATTTAAAGGACAGCAAGTTTATTCTATCTATGAGACTAATACATATTTTTAATTTTTTAATTTTTAATGCTTTTATCTCAAGCTGGACCCAGATCGAAGCCTTTTTGATCAAGGAGTGAAAACAGATGGAACAGTGCAACTCAGTGTACAAGTAATATCTAGGCAAGGTAAGCAGTTACATTTCTCTGTTGTACAGACAAACTAATGTTGCATGAATATTTGTGAGCAAACCTAATCTCTTATTCCTAGCTGTAAAATTGAGAAAATCAATGAATGGTCACAGAGCTTCAGAATGTCTTTTTCATTGTGTACTGTAGTTCTAAGTAGTAAAATTAAAATAAATATCATTCACTAATGCTATTTGAAATGTTTTTTAAAGGAATTTTATATTGTTTTCATAACTACCAAAATTAAACACAAATCCAGAACCCAAACAACTCTTAGTCAAGTAGTATCAGTTACAGTATGAGGTTTTCCTCAAGGTTGAGTAGTTACTCATATCAGACTAAATATCAACACAGGCAAAAGATTTTTGTGGGTAGGTGGCAGTTTCATCCCTGTGAGGTGAGTGATCTTTTGTGCTTTAGGAACAATTACATTGTGAAAGTAAATGTAGCTGACTGAAAATCCTTATCAAGGTCCGTGATCACTGTCTATTGTCTGTTTTCTTTGGATGAGAAGTCAGAATCAATCATTGTGTAAGAGGAACATTAACCAGTTGGGTATGGATTTGTTAAGGCACAGTTTTTATTTGTATTATTGGTATGACAGGATTTCCCTTTGTCAGATTCTCAGGAACTAGCAGCTTCATTGTTTTACTTTTTGTCCTAGTTTTATTTTTTTGTCCTAGTTTTCCGCTTTGCTCCCTCCATATGTCTTGAGTGGAAGGACAGCCAGACAGCCACCACTCTTTATAGTCAATATACATGTTGGGCTGTGGGAACAGCTACAAGTGTTTATTTCTGTATTTTTAAACAGAGACAAGTTCATATAGGAGTTGTTAGTTATCTGGTTTGAGTTACATCAGCAAAGCAAATTAGCAAAATATGGGGTGCACTTTTTGTTTCCTTTTGGCTTCATTGTAGATTAAGCAGAACAAAAGTTTTCTGCTTTGTATTAACAGTCTTCAGTAAGACAATTTGCATTTAATGCTGAGTGTCAGGTGATTAGTGCTAGGTTGAGTCCTCGTTCCCCATATGTAATGGGAAGTGTACTACCTTTCTACTTATAAAATAGAATGGAAATATCCTTCAGGGAACTAGAGTAACTGCTCTTAATTCATGCCCAGTAACTTCTAGTATCAGTGCTCAGACTTCCATTTTCAAAAGGATGTGCGTGATGAATATCTTTACTATCATCTTTCACGTTTGTCATGGTTTTGCATGGGAGACATTTAGGGAAGTGGTGCAAAGCTTCCAGCCACTGGAAAGCTGGACACACCTCTGTGAAAAACACATGTTAAAGATGAAAGAAGTATGGGAACTTCCTCTTTTTCTTATGGTTTGCAAAGAGGTAACACGCCCTGCCCCCCTGTGTCAGCCAGGCCAGGGCTGGGCAGTCCTGGCCACGGGGCTGGGACCCTTCCCCATGATGAGGCCCCTTGCCATTGGCTGCCAGGCAGGGGAGGGAGTGCCAAGGGCCAGGCCAGGCAGGCTCTGCCGTGGGGCCAGGCCCCTCTCTGGGGGTCCAGGGGCACCAAGCCCTGTCCTGCCCGGGCCAGGCCCCAGCAGCTGCCAGGCAGGAAGGCGGGGAAGGCTGTGGGGCCCTGGCTGGAGCAGGGCCAGGCCATGGCAGTGAAGATCTTGCCACCAGGTCCCCTTCCCCCAGCACGGCCACCACACGAGATGAAGCAGCTGAGAGCAGGGCCAGCCCTGCAGCCTGTGCAGAGTGGCCCTGCAGCTGGAATTGAATGCAGAGAAACCCAAAGACCAGCCATGAGGCTGATCCTGACACAGCCCTAGTTGCAGTTCCCCATTCTGGCACTGAGTGACCATCTGCCGGCCCTAGGTGAGATGTTAACTTTTCAGTGCTTCAATCCTCCCTCAAGTGAGAGAAAGGAACAAGATGCAAGCATGTAAAGGAGCCACATGAAGATACCAAGGTCAGTGAAGAAGAAGTCCCAGATGGGAGGGATGAGGAGATGCCTTGGTCTTGGAGCTGAAATACTTCTGTAAAGCTGTGGAGGAAAGACTCTGTTTCCCTGTAACACATGAAAGCCATGGGGAGATGAAGGGTGCAATTTGATATCAAGCAAAGGCTTCCATGCTCAAGTGAGCAGATGTTAAAGTAGCTGTGATCCTATGAGAAGTTTGAACAGAGAAGGAGAGAGAAGTGGTTCTGTACCCCCAGGAGAAGAAGAAGACCTTTGTTCCCAGAGATGAAGATGATTTTAGAGATAGATAATGAGAACTTTTGCCTTTGAACAGCTCATCTTTGAAACAATACCCATAATTTGACATGGCCCATAAACACAGCTGTGGGAAAAGCTTGTGGGAAATGGGAGGACTTCATGATTGCAGATTTCCCCATGTGGCCGCTATTCTTGACAGATTGAGAGCCACGAGAGAACTGGGTTTTTTCCCCTCCTGGAGAAGTCTCCATAACCTTAACAAGAGGAACTTCTCTCCCTAAATGAACTGAAGAAAGATTTTTTTTCTTCAGTTGCAGAGGTGGTAAACTGACTGAAATTTTAGGTTTTATTTCTTTACATTGTCAATGGGAAAGAAAAAGTTGTGCGGGAGGAGGAGAAGTGTTCTGAAGATTTTGTTCTGATTCCTACTACTCTTTCTTTTAGTTATTATTAATAAATTTTTCTTTATACCCTTTTAAAATTTTGAACCTGCTTTGCCTTTCTCCTAATCCTGTCTCACAGCAGGAAGTGAGTGCATTGGTGGTTGGCCAGTGCTGAACCCACCACACTCCTTGATATGCCACCTGGGAAATCCCAAAATTGGCAAAATCTCAAATAGGCAAACCAAAACCACTACATGAAATTGGTGTTTCCACCCAGTTTCAAACTGAATCCACCACAATGTTCTTCCTGTGTTTCATTTTTTCCCTTAATGTAAGACTGAGGTTCATGATCATGTAACACAAGGAGCTTCTTGCTCTGTGCTCCCATCACACCTTGTCTCCCTCCCCCCCTCCCTGCCTCCTGTCTTAAAGAAACACTTGACTATTAAGTACTTCTGTGTCACTTTGGAACGCTCCTCAGTGTTGTTTTTCAGGCCTTTAGCAACTTTAGCTAAGATTTATGATACTTTAGCAACACATAAGATACTTGTTTGTTAAGGCATGTAAAATATGGCAGGGCAGAATATCAGAAAACAAATAGCATGCATATGAGCAAAAGGAAGATACTTGGATCACTAACAGGAAAATGGACTTGTTACTCTTGACCACAGTGCCCCTTTGGGCCAGATGGGAAAAAACAGCTTCTTACTCCATCCTGATATTTTACCTGCATGAAAGAGGTTTTGAGATTTTCAGTTCACTTATGTTTATTTTCCCCTCACTTATGTAATGTATAGAATTCAACTAAGAGTAATGCTAATCCTTGTGGTAGATTGGACTCTCTTTTTTCTTGAAAGAAAAGCTGCTATGTCAGTTCAAATGTTCTACCAAATTTTGATGAGCTGGCTTTAAATTCAAAGACAACAGGTGAAACATAGTTCTTCTGTAGATGAACTTGAGTGTAGTTATTTTACAGCATTTCATTCTGCAGCAGATAAAATACCATTCCTATTTTTTCACTTTACTAGTAATACTCTTATAGTGGTCTGCCTTGCCCTAACTCATTTCCTCTGGTTAGAGGGATGAGAATCTGGAACTGATCATCTCTTATGGATAGGTAAAGGGAGAAGAGATGTGAGGAGAGATGCAGGCAAACCCAGGGAATTAATGTTGTTCTAGTGTTGCAGTAAGTTAGATGGCAGATTGTTAATTCACATTTTTACTTACAAGGTGTTTCCTCTACAGAGACTCATTGCTTTGATCTCCATGTTTGTATTGTGGATGAAGCACAAAGCTCTTTTGACATGTAGTTTTATGACACACAGTGAATTATTTTGTGGAGCAATAATGAACTGTACCTCTTTTTTCTTTCTTTTTTGAGGTTAAAGAATAGAATCTTAACCCTTAGTAGCTTCCCTTACCCATTTTCGTATGATTTTGAAAGAAGCCTATGTTGTGCATATTAATTTTTATGGCCTGGATAAAACATTCTCCTAAGTAAGGTATTTGTTTCCTTTGTATTCAGATCTGCTTCTTCATCTAATCAACCACTTACTGGTTGTCAACATCTGTTTTCACCTCCTTGATTTCACATTGCTGAGTTTTGTACTCTTGGGTCTTCATAGTGTTTGTTCCCTTTCTAATTTTTTTTTCAAGCTGAATGCGTATTAAAATCTAGAGGAATGCTTGTCTGAAACTTTTTTCTTACTTGTAATACAGGTACATACTCCATTTGTTTTCCCTTACAAACTATGACCATGTGGATTTAGCATTGAGGACTGTTGCCTGCAGAACCATCTCATGCTGTGCTTCAATATAAATTAGACAGGAAGGACACAAAGTCGTATCTTTATGGTACAAGATACTGAAGTTACTCTGGCCATATAATGTTCTGTGAATCCAGCTTTCATCAGCCTAACCACAGTTAAGATTTTCCAACTCATGATAGAATTGTAAGGATTCTTTTTTATGTGAAAATATGTTTGATAAAAAACTCTTAAAATAACTGTGGTTGTTGGCATTATAATGAAAATTGTATGTTTCAAAAATTGAAATAATTATGAAAAATCTTTTGTACAATGTATGAGAATTGGTGAGACACCACCTGGACAAAACACCTCAGAAGACAGCAGAGAAGGTGGTGATACAAAGCATTAGTGAATGTGTCTGTTCTTGCTGCAGAATAGATACAGACATATCTTGTTAGCTCTGTGATCTAATGCCTGGAATGACAGACAAAAAGCCAAAACATTAATAGCTGATAAAGTCTAAGATGAGAAGAATTTTCTAGTTATTTTTAATTTGCTCTTTAACATACTGCCTGCTTCAGAGTACTGAAAGAAAATGTTAACTGCTTTGTGTAGACCCCAAAGATATCGGGGAAGTATTTTAAAGGCTGAAAGAAATGACTTATGGTTGGAGCATAGCTGGATACTTGTTCTGGGTCCTTTTGGAGTTTTCTTTTTCTATTTGTTTTGGGATTTTTTATATGGTATATTTCTTACAGACCAAAATACTGTACTTTATGCCCACATGCTGACCATTCTGTTCAAGATCTGTGAAATAGATCACTTAAATAGAACAAGAAGCTGAAATACTGGAGGAAGAAGGAGGGACAACTTTGTTATTCACCTTACTAAAGTATATGCTCTGTAATAGAGTATGTCATTTTAATTTAGGACACTCACAGAAATTTGATGACACTCCTGTGTCCTTCCTGTGTCTTTCCTGAGTTTTGCTAGTCCTTCTTCTTTCTTGAGTTTGCTAACTCTACTAATCAGAAGGGTTTAAAACAATGTTTTTGTCATATTTGCATTACTGTCTCTTAAGTTTTGTGATGTTTCCATGCTTAGGGATAGAGCCCAAGCTGAACATCCTGGAAATTGTGAAGCCTGTGGAGACCGTGGAGGTTGTGATTGATCCAGATGCTCATCATGCAGAGGCTGAAGCTCACCTTGTTGAGGAAGCTCAAGTGATAACCTTGGATGGCACCAAACATATTGCAACAATTTCAGATGAAACGTCGGAGCAGGTGACGCGGTGGGCGGCAGCCCTGGAAGGCTACAGGAAGGAGCAGGAGCGCCTCGGAATTCCTTACGGTAACAGTGCACAGCTGTGGGTGCACCCAGCTGGGGGCTGGTCCCTTCTGTGCTGGGTGGGGTTGGTGCTCAAGGGCCTCAGAGGAGGAAAACTGTGGTATGGGTTAGTTCAATGCAAGTAATCTGCATAAGAGAGTTGTAGAATCGTGGAATGGTTTGGTTTGGAAGGGACCTTAAAGTCCATCTGGTTCCAATCTCCTGCCATTGGCAGGGACAACTTCCACTAGATGAGGTTGCTCCAAGCACCATCTAGCTTAGCCTGAAATACATCCAGGAATGGGGCAGCCACAGCTTCTCTGGGCACTGTGCCAAGTTTTTCCTAATACCTAATGTAAAAACCAAGAAGTAGAATGAATGCTCATAATAGTTTCATTAAATGAGTGCTTTTTGCCATAACTACCTTGTCAATGCAGTTTTTAGAAAGCACTTTTCTTCCTGCCCTCCTTAAAAATGTGTGTGTTAGTTATAAAGCTCTTCATGTGTGTGTGGAATTTAACAGACTTGGTATTGGGGCATTGTCTGTAAAGTTACTGAACCAAATTGTGCATGGACTGGAGGATGCTGAATATTCTGTTAATTAGATTTTGTATGAGAAGCTGTGCTGGACTTCATACTGGAAGAAGATGATTCAGAACTGAAAAGAAATATTTTTCTGGATGATTATCTTTTTTTGAGTTAAGGTTTTTATTTAGTAGGTTGCTCTTTTAATGTTAACTCAAAATACATCTCTGATTGTCTGTTTGAAATTGAACTGGAACTGTGGGATGTAGACATATCGTGTTTGGGAGATTATCCAGCTAAATTGCTTCTTATGACTGGTAGAAATGTACTGTCAAGACATATTCAGGAAGCTGTTCTATATGAGCAGACCTGTAAAACTGGAATATATTTGGCTAGAGGGAAATTTGGAAGGATTTAAGAATTCCAGTCAAGTCACTGGTCTTTGCAGGACATGCAGCTTGCCAATATTTTGAGCATATTTTTGATAACTAAAGCAAAGGCTTTTTCATGACTTTTTAGTTCTCTCATTGGTAAGCACTTCAAAAATAGTTTTCCTCATGTTATATCTGTTGATAATCAGGGATTTGATGTGTAATGTTTGAAAAAAAAAGTGAGGGATTATCAGAAGCAGATTAATACTTTTCATCATGCTGTCACATTAATATTAGAATAAACTTGCTTAAACCAATGCTGTTATGTTGAATAATATTTTTAATAAACTTTTATAATGTTGATGCTTTAAGAAAACCCTATAACCCACAACTATGGCTTCAAAAGTTCAATGATTTTTGGGCCATAGGAATGCAGAATTTTCAGGAAAATCATATTAGTTCATTCTGACCGAGATCCATATATTATGAAAAATAGTGTTCTCTTGATATCAAAAAATATGCTAAATTACACCCCTAAAAAGAATAACATTTTAAATGTTTTCTGAGTAGACACTACAGGGATCTGGACTGGAATAAGGTACTCCTATGTTATACATTATAATCCAAAATTATTTCTTGAATCTTTTCAGAAGACAGGATGCATTGATTTTAAGAGTCAGGGCTAGTCAATAAATAATCATCCAGAAAAGTAGTGGTTCAGTGTCTTCATCCTTACAGGCTTCTCTGGTTTGCTGCAAATGGAAAACCGGCATTTAGCAGGTCTTTAAAGTGTTGGTTTATGTTATGCTTTGGGTGGATTTTATTAGAGATTATAAATATTTTCTGTTACAATTATTTCTGCTATTGGAATCCAAATATTTGGTACCTAGAAGGAAGGAAAACATTAATTGTTATGAGAAATAAATGCAGAAAATGGAGCAGCAGAAACCACAGAAATGGTTAGAGAAAGTAATGATTTCTGTTTCCTTGCAGATTTTGTTCTCTCAATGAGAACGAATTAGCATCTTAGTGATGGAAGCTCACTGCTGCTGATGTTTGGTAGATCAACCCTCTTGTGGTGTGTCTTTTGCCACAGGATTACATTCCATTGTTTTAGGTAGCATTAGTGAAAAATGATATCATGTAGCTGTTCTTTGTTAACCAAAATTAAATTTGTAGCTCCTAGATAAATGTTTATAGACTTAGGATACTTTGCTTTCTCTAAGTCTTAATTTTCTAAATTTTTCTTAATGCTTAATTTTATTTTAAAAAATTTTAATCTTAAAATAAAAGATTGTCAAGGTGACATCTGCTTGGGATATCAGAATTTTAAAATATGTAATCACTCTGTTCCAGTGAAAAGTAGATGTCCCCACTTTAGTTTCTTGTCCTTACCTGTTGACATATTTTAACATGTTGTATCCAATGTTAACATCCCAAAACTTTATGGTCTGGCTGAAAAGGTCCTGCAGAAGCAATCACTTACCTCCAGTAGGCCAATGCTCAGACGGGCTTTAAGCAGGGGATACTTGAAAAAAACCTGGTCCTTCCTCAGTTTTATTGCTCAGTGTTCCCTGTAGTGTGGAATGTGCCTTTGGTCACTTGAGGTCAGCTGTCCCTCCTCAGTTTTGTGTGCACCCCCTGTCTGCTCCCTGGGGTGGCTGAATGAGAAACTCCTTGTATTGGAGTCCAATAGTCTGACAAGATAGTTTGTTCTTCTGGATATTCCATGTGTGCAGAAATATCTAGAATAATATTGAATATCAGATTTACTTGAAAATCATTGATATTACATGGGATTTCTGGTTTAGTGGAGTGATACAAGGTACATTAAAACCCAGCACAGAGGTAAGATATACTTGAATGAATACAGCAGTTTCAGAACATTGCACAATCCCTATCCCAACAGGATTCCCTGTACAGGGGTCTATGATACAGTCACCATCACAAAGTTAGGTGTTCCTAATGGCCAGGAAGGAGAACATGAGTAGAGCCAACTCAAGCCCATTGTTCTCTTCAAAATTCTCTTGCTAGTTTTGTGCTTTATGTTCTCTCTGTTGGGCTGAGCCACATCTTCATGGCCTCTGCAGGCGCTGCTCAGCAGTGGACAAAAGATCTCAGTGTTAGTAATAGTGGTTTGGTCAGCAGCCTAAAGTACAACACAACAGGGGCTTCTGGGAAGAAAATGAATCCATCCCAGACATAGCCAGTGGTGGTTTTTGTCAGCAGAAACTGAGATGATGTGGATGAGTTTAGAATGTAGTGTTTTGTCATAATCGCAAACTGAATAATGTTTTTGAAGGAGAGTATCCTTTTGTGAGAGAAGGTACTCCTTTCTTGAAGCTAAAGACCTGTGGAAGAAGAAAATTCTTTTTTTTTTATGTTTGAGATATGTCAGGCATAGATCTGATGTAAAAACTTTCTCTGAAGAAAGTCGTTCTTTCACCCTTTCTGTCACCACACCATTCCACCACCATTTGAAGTGCAGTCACCAGCTTTCCAGGTGGATTTGGTCTCAGTAACTCTGCTTCTTGATGTTGTGCCTTTACTCTTATGGAAGTTATTATGTAATAACCTTGCAGTGTATGATGAGGTGATTTGCAGTTTCATCCATCTTTTCCAGACCCAGTTCAGTGGTCGACAGACCAGGTGCTCCACTGGGTGGTGTGGGTGATGAAGGAGTTCAGCATGACTGACATCGACCTCAACGCACTCAGCATTCCTGGCCGCGACCTCTGCAACCTCAGCCAGGAAGATTTCTTCCAGCGTGTCCCACGGGGAGAAATCCTCTGGAGCCACCTGGAACTTCTTCGAAAGTGTATGGCAGTTTGTTTTATTTTTTTTAAGACTTTTTTCTTGAACTATTAAACCCATTATGAGCAGTCATTTTTCCTTTACTCGATGTTGATGGTAAAAATGAGGGTATCAGTACAAGATAAGAGAAGGTATTAGAATGTCTGCTGCCGTGAAACATTGCATACTAAACACTGCCTGTCTTTTATCAAACCTCATAACTTGTGGAAGGTAGTGAATGATTATTCCACCTTTGTTTTTTATAAAGCTTCATAGTTCGTGCATCCACTGAATTTGTTAGTTCTATAATGAAGTATTGATTTTGAGTTATTAAGTGTACATTTTTGTGTCGTATTGAAGTGGAGATTTTTAAGCACAGGAGGTGAAATCCTTAGATTTCACTAGATTTAGCTGCTAAGTGATGCATTGTATGTGTATAATACACTAGCATAATAAATATATGTGCATTTCAGATGTACCATGCTTGGAGGTAACTTGTCAGACTGATAACTAATTCTGTCTTAATTTACATAATAGAGAAGAAGGTTTTTGAGGATGGAGCTAGTGGAAATTTGCCATGTACACCATTCTAAAAATGAGTGACAGATGTTAAATGTCTCCACTTGTAAGACCATGAACTGTACATGTCCCTTGCAAACTCATACCAAATTTTTATTTCTTTCCTCTATGAAATAAGAAATTTTTTGATCTTCAGGTGACTTACTATTTGCAGGTTAAATATAAGCCTGGTTTTTTTTTTTCTCCAATCTGTAGATGTGTTGGCTAGCCAAGAACACTCTGGAGAAATAGCAACTGTTACAATTGATCAGCGTAAGTACTTCTGTCAGCACTAATTCACACAAATCACTGTGTGCAGGTTTAGCACTGTACTGTGGTTCAGAAGTTTGATAGTACAGCATTTAGAAAATCACTCAAGAGAGATTTTCCGTGGGAAAGGGAGGAGGACATATTTTAAACTTCAAAGCATAACATTGAGTTTCTCTGTATTTTGTTACTGGCTGAAAGGTAATGTTTGACCTGAACTATGGAAGTTTATAACTCTCATTTTGGATGGTAGATTCTTCACTTTCTTGAAATAAGCTGTCTAGGATACATATTTGAGGTTTTTAGTTGTTTCAGGGCTTTAGGTTATATATTGCATTAATGAATGGATCTATTTAAATATTAATTTCAAATAAAAAAGTGTTTCAAAAAATTGAAGGGTTCTGTGGAAGAGATGACTTGCTTAGAAACCATTATTAGAAATAATACATTAAAATAACTTTCCATAGTTAAAATGGGTGAAACTCATTCTTTCAGCTAAGCAGTGTCATAAATTATTGAAATGAATCAATTTTCAGATGATTTATAAGCATCTTACATGTTAAAGAGACATACTGTTTATTACATCCTGTGGTTGGGTGTAGTTAAGCCAGCTTGAGTGGGGCATCTGTGTCCCCCTACACCCTTGCAATAGAAGGTGTTTGCTGTTTGAATATCAGGTATGGAGCTTGTGCAGTGACTGTAGAGAAAAGGGCATTAGGGCAGATCAGGTGGGAACAGCATGAAGGCAAAGCAAGGGCTTCAGAGAGTTTGTATTCTTTTTGTGGAAGCATGTGATACACATGATAATAAACTAAAACTGGTGTTTTATCTGTAATGTGACACTTCTGCAATGAGTTTAAAACTGCAGTTTTCATGTAAGAGGTAAAAAAGTCTTTAATTTTTACTTAGCATTGTGACTTAAAGCAGTGTGTCTTTTTAGCAAAGGAAAAAACTACCTTCTAGATGTTATGATAATACAGGTAATAAATAAAATATGCCTATTTCCGTGCAAACAATTTATAGTTGATGTTCTGCAACACTCTCTGCCCTACAGCTGTGCAGATTATACCAGCATCAGTACAGCCTGCTACCCCCACCACCATCAAAGTGATAAACAGCAGTGCAAAAGCAGCCAAAGTACAGAGAGCTCCAAGGATCTCTGGGGAAGATAGGAGTTCCCCTGGGAACAGAACAGGTACTGCCTTCATTATTGTACATGCTAATGCACTGAACACTGACCCATTCATTTGAATTGCAGTTTGGTGGGACACGACTTTGTAGCTCCAAATGAGAGGTTTGTAGTGTCTGTGTGAAGGGAGGGGTGTGAAGGGAGCCATAGGTACAAAAATCTGTGCTAAAATCTGCCTGCACCGGTTGGTCAGCTCACACAGGCACCATGTCAACATGATGCTGCAGTTTTTCCATCCTGCAGCAAATAAAATGGATATATTTCCCCATCACTTAACAATCTGTCCTCTCAAACCACTGCATAGCATTTATTCAAGCTTTGAACTTCTTTCTATTTGTAGAAAGGAAAGAAAATAAACTCTATGTTTTAAAATGTAGCCTAGCTGCTACTTGCACTGTTGTGCTCCTCCTCCATTCTTCCCCAGTCTGGTGACTTCAAAATTTATAAAGTTTCATATTTCTTTTTTAGTTAAATGAATGTATGTCTGGAAAACTGCACACTAAAATTGCAGTTTAATATTGGAATTACTGTTATTTATACATACTCTTTGATTATTAATTTCTTTATTTTTTCTTACTGTCATTTTTGTTTTGCTTCCCTTTATGTTGTGAATTTTCCTGTTAAATCCTTCCTTCTCTTCCTCATTGATTTTTATTTTTTTAGACTATAAAGGCCTCTAAGGATGTCATTCAGAATTTTAAGGCCAAGGTTTTATTGGCTGACATTAGTGAGGAATACTTTGTGTTTCTGTATTTAGTTGTCAGGTCTGCTCTCTTTATCTCATTTATAATTTAGGAATTTTACTGTGGCTACTTGAGTTAGAAAAAAATCTTAACTATTGGATGTGAAAGATGCAACATTGATGTAAACTGAAATTTGGGGGTTTCTTTTGTGTTTCTCGTATTTCATGTTGAATATTTGAGACCAAATTTTTTTTAAAAAACAGCTATTACACATATGTGTGTGTGTAGAGGAATTAGCAGCTCTTGATAAATCTGTTCTATTTTAAAGACAGATATGCTTCTAAATGTTTACATGGGGGAGTTGTGATTTTTTTAAGTTCTAGGAGAAGATTTATGTGAAATCTTGATTAATTTTTTCCTGTATTCTTAATTTTTTAATAAAAATGGGTACTGATGACAGGAAAATGTTTGCAAAAGAATCATTAGGAGGGATTAATTAAGTGAAAGTTCCTTCCATCATATAGTCTATGCTGGTCTGCTTTAATATCTTGGTTGCAAGATTTTAGCCATGAGTGGAACATGAAAAGGACAAGGACAAGTTGGAGTGCAACTTGTTATTCCTGTTTTAACAGGGAACAATGGCCAGATCCAGCTGTGGCAGTTTTTATTAGAACTTCTCACAGACAAAGATGCCAGGGACTGTATTTCTTGGGTTGGTGATGAAGGAGAGTTTAAATTGAACCAGCCTGAACTGGTTGCACAGAAATGGGGACAGCGCAAGAACAAGCCCACCATGAACTACGAGAAGCTGAGTCGGGCTTTGAGGTAAGAAACTTCAGGAACTCATGGGGTATGATTTCCTTTCATGGCTGCCTCATTTTTAATTAACATAATGATAAACTTGCAGCTTTTTTAGTAAAGGCAAATCTTCTGAGGCTGGTCCTTGCAATGAGATCCTGCTAATCGTAGAAGAGAGGTATTTGCTGGGCTTTTTACCTTTGTTTTGGAGTTTTTTTATTCATTTTTAAAGAAGCTAGTAGAATAACTTCTTGAAAATAGATCTTCTTTTTTCAAGATCATTAGTTTGGGTTGCTCACTTCCAGAAATATACCTGGAAGTGAGCAACCCAAACTAATGATCTTGAAAAAAGATCATTTTTTACTTCTGAACTGGTGCTTCCAGTAGCCTTGTAAAATAATTACTGTGGTTTATTTCTCCTTAATATACCCAGATACAGACACAATTTTCAACACTTCCCTTTTCTCATATAAGAAAATGCCTAAGCAATATCTTGGAATATGAAATTATGAGAATCTCAGTGAGAAAAAGAATAATATTTTAGCCTCTGGTGACCTTAAGTAAGTAATGGATGCATATAAGAATTTCAGATAATTGTTAAAATTCTGTTTTCTATTTTGCAGGTATTACTACGATGGAGACATGATCTGCAAGGTGCAGGGCAAGAGGTTTGTGTACAAATTTGTGTGTGACCTGAAGACTCTGATTGGGTACAGCGCAGCGGAGCTGAACCGCTTGGTCACGGAGTGTGAGCAGAAGAAACTGGCCAAGATGCAGCTCCATGGCATTGCACAGCCAGTGACAGCAGTGGCCCTGGCCACAGCATCCCTGCAAGCAGAGAAAGATAATTAAGCACTGGGACCTGTAAGTGGGAACCTGAGGCCTTTCCTCTATAACCAGAGCACTTGGTGCTCTTACCTTGATCAGAATTGGAAACGTCTTTTGTTTCTTGATTGTACAATACAGAGCATGAATTTCTATAAAGAACTCAGACATGCATAAATTTGGATCTTTTAACAGCATATATTTTACTGTAATTTAAGGGATCACCCCAACTTCTGCAGCTAGTGAGAGGTGGAGCCTGTGACCACAGCTGTGCAAAGTAATTTCTGCAACACTTTTAACAAAAATTAAGTCCCTGTAGTCCCCAGGCTGATCAGTTGTGTGAGTGCAGCCTTTTCCAGTCTTTTGTTCTCTGCTGAACTACCAAATGGCATTTGATGCTTTCAAAGTTTACAATATATTCATTTTTCTGTTAATCAGGTGGAGCTGAAAGACATGTTAAATGTTACAAAGCATCAAGTTCTTAAAATAGCTTCTGTGTTTAAAAGCAAAGGACACTTAAGACTAGACTTAACTGGAGATCAGTGCTGAAGAAGAAGATCCAGGTTTAGATATGGCTTAAGTGAAAAGCCAATTATGAGTATTTCATTGTAGTATGCACATAATATACATATAGGAGGGCAAATACATGTTTTGAAATACATACTTGACATGAGCCATTTGGCAGAAAGCAAAGGTGAACTTCTTCCCCCCATGCCATTCCCCATCAGGTAATTCAAAAACTTGAAAAAACAGCCCTCACCCAAAGAGTAGATTGTTTTGGTGGGGAATATTAATGCTGTGTTCTGCAAGGTGCTTATACCTGCATGGTCAACCTTAGTATCCAAAGACTTAAGTGAATCACAGTCAGTAGTCCCTGGTTAGGAACAGAAAGCAAATTGAAAATAGTTTTACAGAGAACTGTGGTTTAATTTCCCAATCATTGTACAGTCTAACGTATATTAACTACAAAGAGGTACTTTTTATTTAAAATTAAGTTCTCTTTGAACTTCCAAGTGATATTTTTGAAGCTTCTTAAGCCAAATGCATGCTCCAGAGCTGGGTGCAATTTGAAGTCTGGATGATGAGCCAGCAATAGTTGGGATGTATCCTGAATTCTGAGCTACTCAGTGCTTCTTGCAAACTTACACATGCAGAAAAAAGTAGGCTTCAGCTTTTGAGTTTCCATGCTGGTTAGACTGTTTCTTTTGATGTCTGAGAACGGCAAGATTTGGGGGTTGCTTTTGCCTCTTCTGCTAATAAACAGCACAATTACTATGTCAGCATTGATTTTCACCAACTTTTTAGAAATTAAACCCCCTCTTGTAACACTTAACAATTACAAGGGAAGACCTTTAATTCTGTTAGGGATTGAGCTACTCTTAAACCTTAAATCTGAAGTCCTTGAACAGTGAGATTCTGAACAAAACCCCACAAATCTGAACAAAGTGTGTTTGTGCTGAGCAGTGAGAGCACTGGGCTGCTGCTCTTGAGCTGAGCAGGAATGGTTACACATGCAGGCAGAAGGCAGAGAATACAAAGACTTGTGTGTATCCTCAAGATGTGTTGAGGGCAAGGTTTTTTTGTAGGTGGATGCTCATCTGCAGATAGTTTTTGCTTGACTAGAAGGTTTGCATATAGTTCTAACTTGTGTTTTTTCACCATTGACATGATTATAAAATCAAAGGGTTTTTTGCTGGATTCTTTTGGTAACTCTTACTGTTGTTCTCATCCTTGAGTTCTTACAGCACTCCATCTGCTGAGCATGCTGGTGTCATTTTGCTTGTAAAAAACACTGTAAGCCCTGAGCAAAAAATCTGAATGTATCTGTCATGAAAGGTCAACATCACCCCTTTTCTTGCTGTTGGAGTTGGTGTCACTGATTGGTGTTGGAGGCATCCTGTGCAGGTCTGCTTAACCAAGAATTATGTGAAGTGAATGCTTGAGCGCAGCAGCTCTGCTTGTAACAACATTCTGTGACTAAACACAAGTCAGTACAAGTCACTGGTTCTAGACAGCAGAGTTCTTGAGAGGCATTTTTAGTTCAAATACAGGATAAAAAGAAAAGAAGCTTAAAACACCAGCTTTCTATATCAAACTGGACTGTGGGTAAGCACAGCAAAATTGAAAAGCAGTATCAATACTTCATTCCCCTGCCTCTTCCTGTTCCATGGTAAGTCTGATGGGGGAAACCTCTGCTCCCATCCTTTGTTTGTGGTTACATCCTGTTGTTGCTTTGCAGCCTTTCAGTAGGAGTAATGGTCCTTGGGGTTCTTTGTTGTGGCTCCATCTGCTTCTCCACCAAGTTCTAATTAGTAAAGAAAGAACCTTTCAAGTGGTATCAAATTATTATCACGCTGTCTGTAGTTGAGGGAGAAATCTGTGACTAACTTGATGTCTTCAGTAAAACAAAAGATGTAGAATATATTGTCAAAGGATTTTCTGTTACTGCCAGAAGGAAAACATAGAATATTCCCAATTTTTGTAAAACAGAAGGGGTTTTGCATACTTTTTACTCTTTAAATAAAGACACTTATACTCTGCTAATTATTACAAATTTCTTTGTTTTGCCTTTTTTTTTTTTGTAATTTTCCATGAAACAATTATTTTCTATTTTTACTCTGATAAAGTATTTGTGGATAAAATGTCAATATAGTAAAATAAAAATGTTATACAGCTAATTTGCCTTCTTAATTTTTCAGACATTTGTAATATCTTTCAGGGACAAGCAGTTCTGAGATGCATACTTGCCCTTTATTCTCTTTTCTCTTAAAGTCAGAAGCTCAGTGTAGAAAGAAGGCAAACTCAGCTTATATTCTGAAGATCTATCTTCTTGGACTCAATATTTGGCTATGTGTTTCTACTTTTAAACTATAACTCAGTGTCCTTTATTTCTGTAGCAGCTTTCTTTAACATCTTAATTGTAAATCTCAGAATGGTGCTTAGATTAAACAAATGATGAAAACTCAGTAGTAGGACAGAATGGATCCCTGTGAAATTATTCCATTTTTGCTTTTATCAGTGTTTAAATCAGAAAGGTTCACGCTGACCTGTAAATTCTGGAGTTTTTCATTCCTTCAGATGGCCCCATTTACTTCATCTGGCTGTGCTAACAAAACTGCCAGTGCAAGATAAAATTCTGATTGTACTGCTGTTTATTTCTACTGAGACACAATTTAATAATATTCTCATCATACTTCTGAACTCCTCCATCTGGACTGCCAAATTCAAGACTGAAATATTTTGTCATCTTTATACCTACCACATCATAATATGAATGATGCTAAACAAGAAATTAATTAAAGGACAGGAATTAATGATTGACTGGTTTTGAGGGTTGTAACATGGAACCCTGTGCAACAGATACATTATTGCTCCATTACATTTTGCCTCATTGTTTCATGATTGGAGCCCATAGAATCTAATCACACACTAAACTGAAATTTTACCATCTTGCAATTTTAGAGTATTGACATCTTACCCATTCATAACTTGAAATGAAGGTTAAAAAATGCTGAAGACAGAAAAACAAATAGTCTGATATTTCAGGGGTCTAATTTTAATTAAAATTGCCTTTTACTTGTGAAACTGGCCTTCTGAAAACCAAAATTAAATGCTTCTAGTGGCAGTTGTTGCATTTTGTTCCTTCCTTTTACTTATATGACCTTTGAAAGCCTTCAATGAAGTGGCAGTACAGCAGGCAAAGTATTCCTTTTTCCTGGCAGTGGTCCCAGGGAGTGTGCTAGCTCAGCACCTGCCTTTTTGCCAAGGGACATTGGTGCCAAAATAAGTCCAGGAGTCACCCTCTCCTGGGAAGCTTGGCTTTTTCCTTTCTTCAAAAGGACATGCTGTGCATGCAGACTGGTATTCAAGAGATATTTTCAACATCTTTTAAATTAGCTTGTGTCTAAAAAATGTGGTTTTTCTCCATGACCTTCAGGGCAATCAGTTTTCTATATGGAAAAGAGGTAATTTCCCTTTGCAAGGTTTAAGTTAGACAATGAAAAAATGCCTGTCACTTGCTGGAACTGTAAATCTTTAGTCATTAAACAAAATCTTAATTGAAACCCTGCTTGTAGTGGTTCAGCAAACCAATAATAGGTGTAAGAGAAGCAAACATAGATATTGCCAAGAAAGCTCTCATACAGCTTATTTCCCAAAAGATGAGCTCAGCTGTACCTATAGAGATTTTTGGCTAAAAAAAATTGAATAAATAGTCTCCTGCCCCAAGGAAAAGAAACCTTTTTTCAATACTGATCTGAGTCTCTGAGAATTTCTTTACTCATCTTCCTCTCTGAGAAAGATTTCTCCACCCACACCTATCACACATGCAGAAATACAGTATGCATTCTTTCTTGTCAGAAGAACTCCTGATGTATTTCCCACTTGTCTGCAGCAATTCTGGATAGCTTTCAGAAGGAAATACAATTGTCCTTTATGCCTTGATCATATGAAATTCTTGCATAGTAATGCATGTGGGCAGCCTGTGACAGCAATTATTATAAACATATTGATGTAGTGTTGTGTTTTAACTGCTCTGCCTTTTAATGAGGAGCCTGTAGTCCTAATAGTAAATTAAAATATAATTACTATCACCAGAAGGACCAGGAAAGAAACATTCTCAGCAGCCAGCCCTTCAGTATGACCACTGTCACCTCCAGCCCCCATAAGAGCTGATGCTGAAGCTTCATTCCTGTGTGACTAAAAGAGGGAACTCCACTGTGCTGAGCTCTGTCCCTCAGCTGTGCTGCTGTGCCTCACTCTTTCTCATTTCATCTGTGAAGAATTTACAGTGGCAAGAAATAATTAAAATACAACTTCATTGCATATTAATCTTGGTAATGCTCTTGTAGAGGGAGGTCATTGCTCGCTTTCAGATTATGGAAAGTTACAATTGTTTTAGGATTTTTTGATTTTGGAAGAACTGAGGTGATTTTCTATGTACTGTAGGGGGGAACTTACTTTTGGGTGCAAAGTAACTTCTTAAAAAGAAGTCCTGCTCCACTACCAGCATTTCCCAGCTGATGTCACTCTGACAATAGATTCAAGCACACCAGAAGTCACCAGCACCCTATAAAATCTAGTGATGCTCTTGAACAGAGACAGCATGTCCCAGGTTGCAGGAGGCAGATGCATTGGCACACCCAGCAGAGCTGAAGGCTGAGCCCCACTGGAAGGGGGCAGAACAGGTGTGGGCAGGGGGCTGGTGCAAGGACAAATGCCAGCACAAAAGGCCAGACACTGTGAGGGGACACTGGGAGGCGGCACTCTGCAAGCAGAACTGCAACAGACTGAAAATGAACGGGAGAGAAAGCATAAGTCTGAGTTTTATTTACTATCAAATACATCTCACATACCCAGCTACACACAATCTCCATCCTACTGCTCCAAATTGGGATCCCACTTCTCCCAGTCTCCCCCCAACCCCATTTTACTCTGGTGGCTGTGGAATTGAGTTTTTTTGAGGTGGGTTTGAGCGCTTCCAGGGTGGGATTGAGCTGTTTTTACTGGGATTTGAGTGGTTTTGAGGTGACAGATGTATCCATATTGGCCTTTGGAGTGCAAAGAGATGGAGAACAAAAAGAAATTAAGGTGAAACTAAAAGAAGAAGCAGCCAGGTCTGTTCCCAACATGGATCACAGGGCATGTGAGTGACCAGGGCTGTGCCCAAAGTACCTCCTCCAGTGGGGGATGGAGCTGGAGCAGCACACAAAGCTCTTCCCACACTCGGGGCACTCGCAGGGCTTCCCTTACCGGTGCCTCCGTTGGTGTTTGCCCAAGTTAGAGCTGCAGGAGAAGCTCTTCCCACACTGGGGACACTCGTAGGGCCTCTCCCCAGTGTGGATGCGCCGGTGGATGATGAGTTGGGAGTTCTGCCTGAATCCCTTCCCACACTCAGGGCATTGGAATGGCCTCTCCTCTGTGTGAACCCAATAGTGTCGGAGGAGTTTGGAGCTGCTTGTAAACGCCTTCCCACACTCGGAACACTCGTAGGGCTTCTCCCCAGTGTGGCTCCTCTGGTGCCTGATCAGGGTGCAACGGTGGCTGAAGCTCTTGCCGCACTCCCCACAGTCATAGGGCCTCTCAGCATCGTGGGTCCTCTGGTGCTTGATCAAGTCACAGCTCCAGCTGAAGCTCTTCCCACACTCAACACACTGGAAGGGCCTCTCCCCGGTGTGGGTCACCTGGTGGCTGATCAGGTGGGAGTTCAGTCTGAATCTCTTCCCACATTCCCCACACTCGTAGGGCCTCTCTCCAGTGTGGATGCGCCGGTGTTGGATGAGGTTGGAGTTCTGCCTGAATCCCTTCCCGCAGTCGGGGCAGAGGAAGGGCTTCTCGTCTGTGTGAATCCGCTGGTGCAAGACGAGACTGGAGGTGGTCGGAAACCTCTTCCCACACTGCCCACACTCATGTGGCCGTTCCCCAGTGTGGGTCAGCTGGTGCTGGATCAGGCTGGAGCGCTGGGTGAAGCTCTTCCCACACTGCCCACACTCATAGGGCTTCTCCCCAGTGTGGGTCCTCTGGTGCTGGATCAGGCTCTCTCTTTGTCCGAAACGCTTCCCACATTCCCCACACTCATAGGGCTTCTCCCCAGTGTGGGTCACCTGGTGCCTGATCAGATGGGTGCTCAACCTGAAACTCTTCCCACACTCCCCACACTCATAGGGCTTCTCCCCAGTGTGGATCATCTGATGCTTGATCAGGTCGGAGCTCCACCTGAACCTCCTCCCACACTCCCCACACTCATAGGGCTTCTCCCCCGTGTGGACCAACTGATGCTGGACCAGGTGGCAGTTCCGGCTGAAGCTCTTCCCACACTCCCCACACACGTAGGGCCGTTCCCCAGTGTGGGTCCTCTGGTGCTTGATCAGGTCGCAGTTCCACCTGAAGCTCTTCCCACACTCCCCACACACGTAGGGCCGTTCCCCAGTGTGGGTCCTCTGGTGCCTGATCAGGTCGCAGTTCCACCTGAAGCTCTTCCCACACTCCACGCACGTGTGGGGCTTCTCCCTATCATGGAGCTGCTCATGGAGCACCAGCTCCGAGCTCTGGCTCGATCTTTGGCTGCCTTCCCGGCCCAGGCTGGCTCTTTCCCCCTCAGATCCCCGCCATCTGCGTTTGCAGCCCCTCCTCGTGTGGGATCTCCGGGGCTTTTCCTCCCCGTTGGCTTCCTGCGCCGTGGAGCCGCTCGAAACGGCCTCTTCCACCACGTTCTGCCGCGGGCATTTGTCCTCCCTGCTCTCCATGCTCAGCTCCTGCTCTGGGGGAGGAAAGACAAGGACAGGATGGGATTTGCCTCCGTGCCACAGGCAAGGACAAGGAGATCCCCTCAGGGCGTCTCCGCAGGACGGCACCGGCACCCCCCGATGTCCCCCCAAGGGGCCTTTTCCGCTCAGCCTTGGACTTCTTCATTCTCCAAACATCCCCCCCAAAAAACCCAACCCAGGGACCCCCGGGATATCTGAGCCCATCTGTGGGATCATCGCTCCTCCAATCGCTCCCCCTCCCCACTCACCTGCGCGATGGGGGGAGCGATGATCCCACACGTGGGGGCTTCGACCGCGCCGCCGCTTGAGCTCAGCCTTGATCCGCCTTTGTCCCTCCTTTTCCTCTTCCTCTCGCTCCTCCTCTTCCACCGCCCTTTCCGCCCCTCTGTGTTATCTCCACCTCCTTCTCCTCTTCCATCCCTCCTCTTTTATCCCTTCTCCGCCTCCTCCTCCCTAACCCCACCTCTTTCTCCTCCTTCCATCGCTGCTCTCTCTCCGCCTTCATCCCTCCTCTTCCCCCCTAACCGGCTGGAACGGCGAGGGGAAAGGAGGCAGGGAAAGGGCGGAACCGTGAGGGGACACTCTGGGAGGCGGCACTCTGCAAACAGAACTGCAACGGACTGAAAATGAACGGGAAAGAAATCACTAAGTCTGAGAGTTTTATTTGCTGTCAAATACATCTCACACACCCAGCCCCACACAATCCCCATCCCACGGGTCGAAATTGGGATCCCACTTCTCCCATTCTCCTCCCAACCCCATCTCACTCTGTTGGCTGTGGAATCGAGTG